GGTGAAAAACTTCCCTGTTGTGGCCAGTCAGAATCTCTGCAGGAGTAACTTGTACCCATTACCCTGTATCTTTTCCATGTGACTCCTTGTGAAAAGGGAGTCTCCATCTTCTTTGTAGCCACCCTTTAAATCCTGGAACATGGTGATAAGGTCTCCCCTGAGCCTTTTTTCCTCCAGGCTGAACAAGTCCAGATCTCTCAGCCTTTCCTCACACAGCTTCCCAGCCCTCGGATCAACTTTGTGGCCCTTCTCTGGACCCTCTCCAGCCTGTCCACATCTTTTGTGTATAGCGGAGACCAAAACTCAACAAGTATTCAAGGTGTGGCCTGACAAGTGCTGAGTAAAGCTGGATGATGACATCTTTATCTCCCAAGTTTGGTCAAATAGAAAATAAAGCAAGAAAAGATTGTGGTAAACTGTGTGGCATGAATCAGCATATAAGTTAGCAAGGTACAGGTGTCTCTTCCTCAGAGCTCCCAAGGGTGCAGGAAAAGGTGCCCATCGTTGTAACACAGATTCTTGCCCCTGCAGCACCTAGTACTTGCCAACTGCACGCCTCCCTGCCAAAGAAACCATATCTACTCTCTCTTTGGCTATACTCCTCCTCTTCTTTCTGCCAGATAAAGCATCCAGCACCTGGTGCCAGCTAGAGGATGGAACTCATCAGAAGTGTTTCGAGGATCAACACATGGGATCCATCCCATATAAGCTGATTACAGGATTTACTGACTCCTGACAGTTAACATCACATAACCAGAATCCTGAATGTCAAGCATTGGAGATACAGCTCTAACAAAACCAGGCTAAGGCAAAAAGTCCTAAGATTGCCTGCTCTGGAAGGCATGTCACTGAGAGGATGTGGCTGGCTGTGAACAGAATGCTGCAATTACCAAACTGGGAAATGCTAATTGACTTAAAGCAAGTAATGCATGATGAGCAGAGGGCAAAGCTCTCATCAGCAACAATGGTAGCGAAGTTAATTGTGGATTGACTAGAAGAGCAAAAGTATTACCATGCAGAGATTGATGAATCACCAAGACGTGCCCGCTGTAACGAACAGGACAACTCCTTTCATCCCTGCTATAAAACTTCCATCCGCAATTACCTCTGGAATTCACCTGCAGGACTGTACTGCTGGTACATGGCCTGGCCATACTTGGTGGGGTCCAACTGGCACTGCCAAGGCAAGGCAGCTGCACCAGAATGAGGACGTACCCTTTCAGCTTTGAATTCTCTTTCTCCAAGCTGGTGTATATGTCCTCAAATGCAAGGGAGGACTTGACTCTTTGCCACTGTAAACCTTTACGTTTTTGTCCTTTTCTTAAAAACTCATCCAAGGAAAGGCAGAATGGGGTGCTGCAATAGGGAAATTCATAGAGGAAGCCTAAAAACTTTAGACTTAACTATCCAAAACCAAACTGAGAAACAGAAATCTCAGCATTAAATATTTTATTATTTTAAACAAAAACATGTTTATTGAGGGAGGGAAACTTGACTCATTATCTGAGCATCTGGGATTACCAGTACTGTATTTATGAAAGAGGTGCAGTACATGGCTCCCTGCAATTGCTCTGATCTCTGCATCTGCGGTTCCAGGCTCTACCCGCATTACCCTCTGACAGACGGGAAATCATAAGAACCTATTTTCCTGAGATTGCCCTTAGGAATCAACCAGCTGAGTCTTGCAAACCAGTTCTATCTGCACGAACCCTATACACTCATCAACCCTGGGACTGTTTTCATTAACTGTATTACCAGAGCACCCATAGGCCTCACAAGAACCAAGCCCTCAGTACCACATAAACACTGCCAAACACTGTTCCGGGAACCTCACAGCCTAGCTCAACGTATGAATATATAGTCGCATACAGGAAACACACAAGAAACCCACGGTCGTTCTCAGGAGGAACGCCAGGCAAAGGGATGCACTCCTACAACCTGCCAGCATGGGACCAGCACCTGCTGATGCATTTTCACATGCATTTTACTTACTTGTATCATTTACTTACTTGTATTTGCTTCATAACGTATTTTAGTATTTTGTTATTTTCTACAGAGAAGCCTAATGCACTTTTTAAAGAGCAAAAAGTTTGCTGACATACTGTGAATCAGGGGGAGCTGTTTCTTTTTCCAGCTATATAATCACGAAGAACAATGTTGTAATAACTGCAATTTTACGACATACCTGTAAAACACACTCTATATTTTGGATCTGAGGCACTTGACGCTGAGCACCCTCCGCTTCTCACAGCCTCGCTCTTCCCCGCAAGTTTCACTGCATCTGCCGCCCAGAACCAGGAGGCTTACACCGAGTCTCCTGCCCCCGGCTAACGGCCGGGATCGGCGCCCACCCGGCGAGGAAGACACCGGGCCGAGTGGACCCGCGGCAAGGAGCCGACCCGCGGCAAGGGGCCGGCCCGCCCACCCTTCCCGCCTCTCAGCCCCCTGGGCCCTGGGCCCCTTCCCCTCCTCGCCTAGCAGGGACTCCCTCTGCCCGGGCCGGGGTAACTCACCCTCAGAGCCGGGGGACCCCGGGCTCGTCGTGACACGGCAGCCGGTGTGGGACACCGGCAGCGGCGCCCCTGGCTCCGCAGGAGACGGGCGGTGCTGGCTGCCCGGCGGAGGTGGGGCCAGGGCGGGGAGCGAGAGGCTCGGACACCCCCATGCCCGCCCCCCGGCGGCGCCGCGCAGCCCTGCCGGGCGGGTTGGCTGCCCGCAGAACTACGGCGATGCCCCAGGGCCAGCGGCCGCGCCCGGCGACAGAGGGCGAAGCGGCGGTCTCGCCTGCCGCTGAAGAGGCTCCGGGCCCCGAAGGCTGAAGGGGCGGAGGGTCCGGGCGCGGGGCAAGGCCGGGCCTCAGCGACCCCTCCGCCTGTAAGCCATATGGCAAAGCAGGTAGCGAAGCCGATGGGCGCTCGGCTTTAAGGCAGGTTTCAAGCGAGGCGTACAGTCAGCTCAGGTACTCGGTCTGCGCGTTCCCCGCTGTGAGCCACGTTCAGAGTGCTTCAGGTATTAGGCGACTGCACTGAGATTGTCACCTACAAAGTGGTGTTTTCAAGCGAATGCAAAGCTTGTCAAGGGGCTTGGACGATCCTGGAACCTGCAGGAGGGAGGTGCGCTGCCAGCATTATCCAAGGGGATAGACCTGACAGACAGCAGCTCCTGAAACCTCCCTTACCTGCTGGGACTTGGCGGATACCTCCTTGGCCTTCAGGCACCCACAGGAATGAATGCCTCTGCCCCTGGCCTGACACCAGTTTGAGTTGGGTATCAGAAGCACAGAAAGCATAAGCTGAAGCATGACCGCTATGTTAAGCCAAAACTATTGAAGGTCCTCATTTTAGGATAAATAGTCACCATTGAGTTCAGCTCTGCCAAAAGATAAATTTTAAGTATTTAAGTTTTAGCTAAGAAGTATTTTCATCAGTAGCGATAGATTTGCGCATTTTGTGGCTGCCCCATCCCTGGAAGTGTTCAAGGCCAGGTTGGACGGGGCTTTGAGTGACCCAGTGTAGTGAAAGGTGTCCCTGCCTGTGGCAGGGGGCTGGAACCAGATGGCCCTTAAGGTCCCTTCCAACCTGAACCATTCTAGTATTCTATGATTTGCACCAAGTATTTTTTCTGTGGATGAGAACCCCTCTCCGTTGTTTTCCACTGTACTCTTGTGTAAGCTGAATCTTGGAAACGGATACAATAATTTGTGTTGCTTTGATAATGAGTTAATTAACTCCTGCAATCCTATATTCTGAAAATGAAATTGTAGGGTTATGCTTGCAAACAGTCCACTCTACAATTGAGTTTGTCCTCCAGGCACAAGCTTTATCTAAGAGATCTTAAAGAGTGCATCTTTTTGATGCATGGAAGAAGGTCTGTAGTACAGCACCATGCAGCGTTTGCCCTCCTCTGCAGGACTAGCAGGGAATATTCGGCACTCCCTGCTCTCCCTAATATAAACCATCCAAATTTGAAAGCCTCTTCCTGCTAGAGCCAAAGTTCTTCATCCTGCAGACAGTAGCTGCTCAGAGAGCATTAAGAAGTGCCTTCTCTGCACCAAAAGTAGAGCAATCAAAAGTTCATTCTGATTTGGAGTAGACTCCAAATTTTAAGACTTAACTTCTAAGCCTGCTCTGACAGTGGCCTGTCCTAGTAAACATACTATATTTATCAGCATGATTATACTAGTGTATCTATGTAAGTTAGTGCATCTAAATTCTTAGCTGCTCAGTGACGTTTTACCTAGGTTCTGGAGACCTGCACTTGCCCCACTGACCATTGGCCACCCATCTCCAGCAAGAGCACTGACGGAGCCTGGCTGCAAGGGGCTTCCTGTGCTTCTGGGTGCCAAGCAGGCCCCAGCTGAAAGCAGCGTGAGTACACCTTAAGTAACAGTGCAAACCCACATAATCCTCATCAGAAATCTACTCAGCAGCAAAAACCAATTCATTTCTACAGAAATTCTGGAGTGCCAGAAATTTGCATTCCTGAGTAGAAGAGTTAACAACAGAATTGAGAAACACTCAGCATAATAATTACTGAAAATAAGTTGTTCATAAAGTTCCTGCGTATGACCTGGTGGAGGCAGCAAGGACACAGGAACTTTTACTCCCTTACCCTGTATATAAAGTGAGTGTAACATCCCTATAAAATAGAAATGCATGCAGACGGTAAGTGGAAGAATCTCCCCGTCATCCTCCAGGCTGAAGAAGAGTAGGAAGAAGGCATATTTCTATGGAGAGGTAGCAGTGAAAATGGATTTATAAAAAAAAAAAATAAAAATAATCCTTTGTTCATTTCCCAGTGAGTCATCCAAGTCTTCTAATTACTTGCTACAGACTTAGAGGAAAAGCTAAAATCCAGAAAGTGGTCTTGGATATGGGCTCCAGCACACCCTCAAGCACAGTTCCAGTGAACGGGTCACTCCTACATGTCACAAACACACGCAGAGTGCCCGTACGTACCAGAGATGCTGTACGTAACGTGTCACACAACACGCACACTGCAAAGTTTAGTTCAGCTTTATTATCCACTGTAGCAGTTTTCGAATGATACATCATGCAGTCTGCCAGTGTATCCATCCATCTGAGATAGAATTTTAGAATGAAGATAAAAGACTTATCTCCATGGGATGGGGGAAGAGGGTTTGGGTTTGCTATCAAGAGTTTAATATATTTCAGCATCGTTTGATGCAATGGCAAAAAATTTCCCCTTGTTACCAGCAAAACGTGTCCACAATTTATTTTTTTCCTAAATTGAACACTACTGTAAAGATACATAGAGCCCAGAGAATACACATCTGCAGTACACATTACACACTTTACAAACTAGACAGGTATAATTTACAGAATGCCTCAACCCCCGTGGTTCTCCCACAACAAAAAGTGTTTCAATGGACAATATTGTGAGAGCCAGAGAGGAATGGGTGGATCAGTGTCCCATCCTGCACAGCGGGTGTTGTCCAGTGCACTTTACAGTTCAAACAGGCACAGTGAAGATGGAAATCAACGCAAGGGTAGATTAAGATTATCCTGCCAATTTGTGTTTTTTTTTTCCCCTTCCATTTCCAATTGACATGAACTTCATTCTTGTTTACACAAGGTCTTTCTCCTCCAGTAATGGAAATCTGATCAGGCCTTTTCTTTCCTTTTGGACCTCCATCACCATTTATTCAAATAACACAATGTTCAGCTTACAATATTTTATTTCTAAGCCTTACTTATAAATATTTCAGGCAAATGTGTATATTTGTCCATTAGGCTTTATAATATGAAATATAAAAGTTATTCTTAAGGTTCTGTAAGCAGAAACTATTGTATAGTTTTACTGTGACTTATTTTTTAATTTGCAATATACTCAGGATAATCCGCTCTCACCCTTGCTAAGTCCAAATTTAAAAATGCATCAGCCAAGATCTTTCCAGGTTTAAAACGTTCCTTGTTTTAGAGAAAGCAAGTTAATGAAATGTGAACTCAAGGACAAACACAAGATATTTGAACATAAACACAAGATATTTGAACATATCATTAAGAGAAGCTCAAGTGAGCAGGAAACACATTTAATTACTAGCAAAAAGAACAATATGCACTTTAGTTCCATCTGAGTTATGTTTTCCATTTGTGTACGGTATTTCCACCAAAATGTATCCCATGCATGACATATTAGATGTGAAACTTGATTTGCACTATACAAACACAACTTTAAAATTAACCTTAGAAAATTTAACACAACATTCAAATAGCAAAGAAAGTCAGAGAGCATCAAGTAGTGGAAATAGCAAGACACAGGTTTTGTTCTCTGCAGAGATGTGGTTTTCATTTCTCTATATAAAATGTGTAAGACTTAAAAATGGTACAAAAGTTGAATATACAATACGCAATACAAACTTAAGTTGCCTAATTAAAATAGGCTTACAAACCAAGAATCTATACATAAGCAGAGGAAGTTCAATTGACAACTAATCATTTCCAATCAAGTAAGTATCTTCCGTATGTCGTTTTGAGAACTTTAGCCTAAGGCATCCTCTCAGCATTTCAGTTATAGAAAGTCCTCCTACAGTCTTGATGTAAAAGTTAACTTGGAGAAACTTACATCATTTTAGCTAGATGAACTGACTGGCTGATCAGCACTAGCACAATTAAGAGATGTCAAAGCTAACTTATTACTCAAGCTGAAGAAAGCTGTCTAAACTGCCGTGCATAACTAACAGTGATGGTGGCAGAGAGTTTAATGCATTTTTTTTTAAGCTAATGCTGCATCTACAATATACTTCCGTATCAAACTTTGAATTCAAGATAGAACAAAAGTCTTACTACAGTACAAAATCTTTGACAGCAATTCAGTTTGGTATCTTCTTCCAGACAACCGTTTTAGAAGCGAAACAAGAGGATTGTTAGTTCATAGTAGAAATTTCAGCGCTGAATAGCTGATAAGATAGTACAGAGTAGTTCTGAATTAGTGATTTTATTGAAGATTGCATACGGCAAGTTCACAGTTCATTTTCTGGCAGTGCACATGCACGTAAAGAAAGAAAATATAAAACTTTGGAAAATACAAAATAAATTAAATACATGCAAGTTTGCAACTTCATTAAATATTTTTAGCAAAACGCTCCTCAAAATAGTGCAACATTAAAAAAAATGTTAAATTAAGTCTAACTTACTTTGCAACAACCTAAATAATTTCAGTAGAAAAAAAATACCTCAAGTCAATTCACAATCTTTCAAAAGGCTCTACATTAACTAAGTTCTATGTCTACTAACAAACACATTCAGAAATTTAAAAAAAAATAAGTAAGAGCAAACCTCTGCAAATAAAGACTAGAGGGCTATGCTCAGCCATGACCTTCCTAGACTCCACACTTTGTTAGGACGTAATGGTGCATACTACCCACATATGAACCAGGACAGGTGTTTGTGGCACAGAAGTGGTAGGCAGGGAGGAGGAGAAGGAGCTTCTGCCTGCCAGTGGAACCTTCCCAGAACGATTCCAGTGCCCCCTTGCTGAGAAGATGGAGAATCTTTACTGGCATGAAAGAGGTCCACAAAAGGCAAGCAGTCTCATCCTCATCTTTGGGAGAATGAGAGTACCATTAGTAGGGTGACTTGCATATGGTAACTTAGAAGGACATTCTTTTCCTCCTGAAGTCTGCTCTTCACTTCCTAACAAAAATATTCCAAAATTTTGTTTGCAAAGGACAGTTCAAGCATAAAACTCTTGCCTCCTTTTGGAATCTCTCTCTAATTTTTTTAAGGTAGGATCTGGGGTTTGTGGGACATTTATATTTTTTTGTTTCTTTAAGGTAGCATCTGTTCTGGTGGGGGACCATTCACTCATCAGTATCTGAATTCTGGTGTGAACAGATCAGGGCTTGCTGAAGGCATGTGGGAAGGGGAAAGGGGGGTGGAGGGATGCTTGTCTACTTTTCCAAGACAAGATTTCCACAGCATTCTGAAAGCCTTCAAAATTTCATAGAGAACAATGCTTACAAACACATGGCTAGCCATTACACTCCAGGAAACCCCACCACTGTAGGGAGAACTACAAGCAGATCTGATCTTAATTACAAGATAGGTCACACAGATATACTCATGTAACTACCAAACTTCAAAACCTAGATCTATACTAACAGATTTCTCTGCATCCCATTTGATCTTTACCAGGTACTGCAATAAAGGTTATTTTATACAGTCCAAGGATTTTATCAGGATATTACAAATGGTTCTTTGGGGAAATTTACTTCTGAAAATGTAAGCGGTAAAATTAAATCATATAGCAGCACATTTTCATCCCCTAAAAATATAAAATAATATGTATATTATACAGTAAATCAGTCATGACAGCACAATCACCTGCCTTTGATGGCACTTTGTCTTTGAATAGTTAATTCTTTGATGCCAAAAGTCAGGATTTACTGATGCAACAGAAGACTTTGAAAAAGCATCTATCTGAGTGTAGAAGCCCCAACCTAACAAGCGCCAAGGGGTCAAACGCAGTCAGTGAGAGATTCTGAGTGGCAGACTTCCTATCATTACTTAGATGGTTATGTTAAATACATTGTACAAGTATCTGTAGAAGAGTTGAGCTGGACACTTCTGTACACGTGTGGATCCTATGAAGCTCAAAATACCTGCGACCAGTGCAGTGCAGATGGTTGTAGGAAGCGCAGGATGAACAGGACATGGATTTGATTGAAGAGGGGAGAAAAAGAAACTAGTGACTTAATGACAGTCCTTAACATGCTAAGTGGAATTCACCTGTTGAAAGAAAGAAAGGTAATGATGATTAGTGGATTTTGAGACTAGAAAGCAGATACGCAACACGGCAACTCACCTATACCTACCCTTCACAGAAACGTGAATTGTCTCCTGTAGCACAGTGTTATGTCCTGCATAAACACTATCTAAAGGTCTAACTTTTTTTTTGCTCTTATCTCTCTGTTCTTTTAATGGAGTTTTTCCCTCCACTGGTTGCCACTTGGCTGTGCTGAAAAGCAGATGTGTGCTTCTCTTATAAAACAAGTAAAGAAAGTAACTGCAGTTGAATTTGAAAACTTATGATAAAATGAAGGAATGAAAAAATACAAATGCAAAATATTGTTCTATATGTCTCCCAACTGAGAGGTGCTTTCCTTGTGTACACACACATATATATAAAAGTGTATGTTTACAGAAATATATTAAAATATTTTATATCTATTATACTAATATCATAAAAAGACACTGTATAATTTGATATAACATACATGCACATTTTCAATAACCTCTGCAATGTAGACAGGGTAAGGAATTATCTTGTAAAGATCTGCAGATGCTCTTTGGCTTAAGTCTCCTCTTTAAGCCAGCTACCAGCAATTTGCAATTCAGAGCTACAATTTATTAACACCCACATTTCTATGCTATCTGCTGCTGTTATTCACCAAATACTATGTTTTCTGGGGTAGAAATCATCTCCTTATATCATGCACACTGCAGCTGGGCAATGTGGCCCAAACTGGGTGAAGTCTGAACTTTGTCCTGATTAGTCTCACAGCTCTGGCCAGCTCTGCAGAAGAAATTTTACCAGATATGAGTTAATAAATCATAATCACTGATCAGTCTAACAGCAGTGTCTATTATCTGTGTTATGTGAATATTGAATGAATGTAAGATAAATTTTATCTCATCCTGGCATAAAGTTCTCATTCCAGAAACAGAGAAGTTACTTGACAGCAAATATTTCAATAGAAACTCCACCTTTATTTCACTGTTGTTAAAGGAATATAAAAGTAAGTTGTGACCTAATTCTAGCTGTGTAAGACTGCACCATTCAAAAGCACAATGTAGTTCTACAGAGCATAGAAATGGCTCAGCGACATTATGGAAATAATCTATGTAAAATTTTCTCTGCACAAGTAGTGCCATTACTAACACTCAGTCCCCTGGGCTTTCATCCAATGAGCTCAGATTTCAGAGTACTCTGATATTCCCCAAAACATTTGGCAGCCAAATATTTGCAATTTGCCAATAATCTTCTTAACTGAAGGACCAAAACTGATGAGGACTACCCTCACTGCCCAGCCTTAGTTTATTACATCTTCAAGAGATCTTTCTAGGTAAAAAAAATAAAAAATCTAGAACTTGACAGAGTTGGAAAACCAATTATGAAGTCTAAAACATGGTTCTCAGGAGTAGTGATCACAGAATAGAATCACAGAATATCTTGACTTGGAAGGACCTGTAAGGGTCATCGAGTCCAACTCCTATAACATTTAAAATTATTGCCTTGCATATAATATGTAATAGCTAATAAAGCCGGGCATTAGACCGAATCTTGAGCAATAAGGAAACTAGACCTATGAAAGCCATAGGGAAGCACTACTGTCAATTAATTTGAAAACCCACACATACACACTTTTTAAATGGCTTCATTTCAACCTGCAGGGATTCCGTTTAATTTTCAGATTCTCTTTTCTAATCTTTTTCAGAAATCAGAAATGTGTAAGTTTACTCAGTTTCTTCCAAGACCTTCCATCTTATTTTTCTGCTACTCCGATTGCCCATGAACTTCTCTGCAACATGTTCCAAGCATGGCCTGAATCTGCTCATCCTTGACTGCCCTCAAATCTAAACCTCAGCATCTAAAACATTTGAGAAACATTCTATGCCTTCTGATTACTTATTATTGACTTCCAAAGTCCTATCTTTTTATACATTCATCTAGTTTTAAGTGTCTTTATTTGTTAAAATACCTCTTATTAATCTACACTTGTTCACTTGACATATACCTATACCTAATGTGGGGCCTGTTTGAGTCTGACATTTAATTTCACAGTAGATGGTGTATGGCCCACCCAGTTTAGGCAGGTAGCAGTTTTTTTCCCCACGGAGCAGCTGCTACATGTTTGGAAATATTTTACATGCCTCTGTAAAACACTCTTTTCCCTTTGCTCTTTCACAGAGGTGGGAATGCAGTGAAGTAGACAGGCAAAGGCTATGTCATTTGTGAGACGGAAAAGCCAATTTCAGCTCAGAATGAACTAATGCACAAACACACTCAGCAAAGATTTGCCCTAATTCACCCACAGTAAAAATATGTTGCTTGCAGCTACAGGGCTCATGGAAAACACAATGAACAGAAACAATCTGCACAACACAATAACAGCTTGAGTGTGATGTGATGGATGGTTTGCATGCATGCATGACATGAAACTTTCTCAAAAAAAAAAAAAACCAAAACAAAAAGGAAAAAAACACTCAGGAATGCTAAGTGCCTAAAGGAAACCACATACTATCTGAAGAGAGTCATAAAACAGAATTAATACTCAAGGAGGAAAAAGACCCCAAACTTGGGACAATTTAGGAGTCCACTGGCTGCTTTTCACAGCCACTCATTACCATCCAACTTTCAGTAGGTCTGCAACATAAAGTTACCATCTAAAATAACAGAGATGTAAAACACCTCACAAGTAAGCAGCATTTAAAGAAGTAAATGGAATGTGGAGGGTACATGAAGCAGTCTCACAGGAATATGCTGCTTATCTTTCCAGGATGAGATATTTGCTTAGGAGAAACCTTCAAGCCCTTGCAATTAAAGTAAAATATTTTTTTCTTTTTTTCTGAAGAGAGCTGAATAAGAGTGCAAAGCAAAAGAAACAAAAGTTAAGTCTGCCAAATTGTGACACTTAAATTTGGAGAGCTCTGTGAGGCTGCCACTCATGGCAGCTCTACCCCTGTCCCAGGCTGAAATATCCCAACATGGAAACGTATTCATGTTGCAGAAAGCAGAAAATTATACTGGCAAAAGGAACCTCTGGAACTCTATTTTTACTACATGAGTTTCATGCCTCTATGTGTGAATTTCAGTACACATTACCAGAGCATTTTCTAAGAAACATTTTAAGTGATAAATCATTAAAATAAAAACTCTCATCAGCAGCATGCAAAATATTCTAACAAGGCACTCCTTACTAAGATTACTAATTTTCACAGTTAAACTATCAGCAAACAACTCCTACTACAACTAGAAAAAAATATTGTGGGTCTTCTAAAAGCAAGACTGAAATATAAGAAAACTTGGTGATCAGGGAAAGAACAGATGAGTAAGTTACTGCGGTCTTACTTCTTGTCTATTTGGTGTTGTGATAGTAGGTGGGGTTTGACATTCCTCCCCCGCGGATGGCATGGACAGCCGTTGGAGAAGATGCCGGGTAATGACCAGGGCGGATGGGCTTGGCTGCAGAGTAAAAAGTAGGAAACCAAACAAGACATTTAGCTGTAATACAAAGTTTTCTACCTCTCCTCTAGTACAATCCCCATTGTGTCCAAACAAGGAGCTGTGCTTGGCAGAGTAGTCTGTAATTTAACTCTGTGGAACACAGCATTCCCTTACCTTGGCCAATAAGAAATACAACCATTTTCTGCTTGTGACAGGGCCATTTAGCCTTCCCATGCATGCCCTTGTCTCTGCAAAGATTACGAACTGTCTGTACAGCAGAGGGAAGTGAGGACCCACTTGGTGGTCAGTGAGGTACCTTCTATGTTCAATTTGACTATTTATATTGTTCCAGAAGACGTTGAGAAAAAGCTGTCAGTAGGTTTCCAGCATACAGCAGGAAATACTGTGTGCTGCCTAATTCTATTTCAGGTTTTAAGACAGTAGTCTTAAACTATCCAAACCATTATCCTTCTACTTCAGCAATTCTAAGATATCACTTAAAAAACTGCCAATTTTAAGTACCATTTAATTGTATGCATGAATTCAGATTGTACCACAAAGATACAAAGATGTATCGAGTATCTGAATTAGATAGGAAGTTATTTGACTCTTCAAGAACTAAATTAAATCACAAGGAGGAGTAACCAGGGAAAAGAGAGGAAGGGACAAGGTCCCAAAAGGCAAGGAAAGAATGAAAGCAGAAGGAGAGTATGTGGGGGAGGAAGAAGAAAGTAAGAGACTAATTTAAAGAGACAAGTTTTCAGGTCACTAGAAGGGCACATAAGACCCATTATGCCATTTATTTACTGAGTTAAATAGCAGAGGCGCTTTAAACCTTAGGTGGGGCAGATTCTATTAAAAAGTGAAGTCTTTGAAGATTCCTGTGCAACAGAGGAGAAGCAGACTGTGGTGTGCCCTGGACTGCTGCTTTCAAAGCTCTTTCTATTTCAACATGAGCAAACAGACCAACCATGAAGTATGTGAGCAACCACTAACTCTTTAGCTCGATGTCCTTACCAATTTGAGCAGAGTGTGCTCTCCGTGCCATGTTTTTGGCTCTCACAGCTTCCTTAATGCGATCTACCTCCTGCTGGTACCGCTTGCGGTCTCGCATGGCATTCTCCTTGGCCTCCTTCAGTGCACTCTCCAGGGCCTTAACTCTCTCTGCCGTAGCTCTAAGTCGTTTTTCCAGCTTAGGAAGCTCACAACGAAGATCTGCATTATCACGTACCAACTGCAAGAAGAGAAGTTTCAAAACTATCCTATGAGAAAGGCTGCCTTACAAGGAGAGACAGAAAACACAGATTCCTCTTCACACCTTGTACCCTGCAAATAAAACAGGTTTCTTCCAGAAACAACTGTGACGAGCTTATGTCAAAGCAAGATTTATCTTTAACCATGCAGTTCACTTGTCCAGCTGAGGTACGATATTAAATTTTCCAGAAAGATAAAAGAATAAATGAGTTTACTCCATTCAACAGAATTTCACAGATCTGATCTCAGAGGGTGAGGGCTCCAGGATAAACTCTGCTACTGCAGAGCACTCTACTACCACAGCTGCTTTCCTAGACTTTAAGAGCAACTGCAGCAGAAAGTCTGTATTTCTTCAGAACGTGGAAGTGTCCAGCATTTCACAAATACTTGACCGCCTCATTATTTCAAACCAGTAACTCTTACATAGGTCTTACAGACAACACTGGGTATCATGAAAAATTGTCTCCAGTGGCTATGGCATTCTTACCTACTTGTTCCCTGTTCAAGTATATGAGAAAATCGGGAAGTTTGATGCCTCAGACATTGCTAAGAAATGACTTTAAGGCCTGGAGCTATAAATGTGATTATATGCAACTTTGAATTAATGGACTTCCTCAATTAAATACGAACCTCAGCAATGTCTATCAATTATCAGAGTAAGATCTCACTTTACATGCAACAACAGCCAAGCGAGAACTGGTATTTATTTCCTTTTTATAAATAAGCCCCCAATGCAGTTAGAAAATCTAATACATTTTCTACTGAACAGATTATACCACTACCAGAAGTCAACAGAAAACTGCTCCAAAGGAGTGATTCTCACTTGTCTGGAGTGAAGGGAAAAACGTGGTTTAACTACCACACTAATAATATGGTAAAGCAACAGCATGTACTAACACTCACACATTGTTTGACAAATCAAAATGTTTTACACCTGCTAGTCTGGGCTCAGTGCCAGAAGGACAACACAAGCTAAGCTAAAAAAAATAAATAATAAATTGTCACAATGTGTTTTTTCTGCAAGTGTTGAACCCTTGTTCTACAGAATGGTTATAATATGAAATAACAGCAAGATGATATCACATTCAGGTCAAGTCCAATGTCACTTTTCCCTCTACATTTATTACAAGATGAAGACTCCTAGTTAGTTTTGAGTAAATATACACTGCTGAGAACTATAAAAACCCGTATCTGAAAACCCAGCAGATGTGTGAACTGAGTGCAAAAAAGGCAGAACAGTAAAAGGAAAAACACTCCTAAGATGTCCCAGTTTCCATATTTAGAAACTAGGTCTTTAAACCATCTGTTCCCTGGGAATTTCAAAATACTGAACCTTAGCGGACACTTGTCATGGTCCTGCACTGCTTGCTTTTTTAGCACTTCCCCAGAAATAAATAAAGCAAATCATGGAGAGCACTGTGTGTCACTAATAACAGTTTGAGAAAACTGCTCTGGAGAATGTTTTGTCACTATTAAAAGAGGAAATCAAAATAATCTTTACTATTTGGTGCTCTGCACCCAAACATTGGGAGACAGTTCAAAAATACTAACACCTAAGAGGAAGGTGGAAGCATACTTATTGGATGAAATAATCCAGTTGTATCTAACAAGGTGCTACCGAGATATACATATATATGTACACACACATATACACACTATTAATATATGCAGACTGCTGGTAAGCAGAGGGAAGGCTCTTTCTTTGGTGTATACCCAAAACACTTGCCTACTACACATTCCCTCCAACCCACATTTGCATGGCGGGTATGTAGGTTAAAGGGCTCTCCATTGCCCTCATCTCTCCAAACAGCTGTATTCAAAGGAAACGGGAACAACATGTGAAAGAGGGAGGAGACAGAAATAGACTTGCCCAGAAATAGACCACCAACCTCAGCATTCTGGGGTGGCACTAGCCGTTAAGATGCACAGAAAACCTCTGTTTCTTTGCTCTCATACTTTGCTGGTTGACTTCCCTGAAGTCACCTCCAAGAGTGCCTCTAAGCAGCTTTAGACCAGAAGTCAAAACTGTGGATACACAATTCATCTAGAAACCAGCACACAAGGTAATAACAAGCACGTTATTCTGTTGTTTATGCATTACACCAACGTGGTGACAATTAATCCTGCCAAAACTGCTAGAGCCTATTTTCACAGAAAAAAAAAAATGTTTATTTAACACGTTCATAAGAAGTACAAGCAGTGGGAAGAACACTCTCACACCAACTTCTAATTCCAAGAATTTTAGTTGAGAACTGTAGGTGACATTTCCTCAACCAGCACATGTACCTTCAAAAACTACCCCTTTAAACAGAAAAAAAAGTGTATTTTGGGGGGGACGGAAGGATGGTGGGAGGGAAGGAGAGAGAGAAGGAATGATGCAGAGCCCCTACCTGTTTGTGAACCTTTGTAAGCTGTTCCAGGTTGTTCTCAAGAAAGGAAATTTTCTGCTTCTGCGCAGCACTTCCACCCCCATCATCGCTATCGAGTTCAACACTCTGCACAGGAAGAAACCAAGAGGAAGCTCAAGTCTTCTGTGACTTTAAGTTCCCAAAGGCAGAAAAGCCCTCCAACGCCCCAAATTAAAGAGAATTTATTTTACCTGCTCATTTAATATTTAAGAGCCACATTCCCCACTACACAAAAAATACACTCTTCTTACTGAACAATTACTGGGGGATCCTGAATAGGAAAATCATAGATTTTAGTGGAGAAACCCCATTTTCCCTCTTTCTTTTGTCTCTCTGGGAAGACGTTTTTATGTAATAAGGGTTTTCAACCTTAAAAAAAAGTATAAAAACTCTTCCCCAAAGCTACTCTAAAGGACTGAAAAGCTTGTGAAGCCTTTGTCTATTTATGCAGCTTCACACTTCCCCAAAAGTTAAAAATACATTAATTTCTGCTAAATAATAATTTTGCCAGGAAGAGCCTGACTAATCACAAGCGTACAGAAGGAAAGAGCCACAGCATTCAGGGTAGTGTTAGTACAAGTTACATTGAATGATTTCTGGTACCCATTAATATCAGCTTTGAGAACTTTGTAACTGAGCTGAATTGGCTTGGTTCATTTCGCTTAACGACCAGGACTTCTCCTTAACAAGTTAGGACCAAATAAAAGCTAATAAACATCACAACAATTTTTATCTTATTACTCACTATTATTGAAAAAGACAGTGTCCTTTTTTGTAACAACATGCACTAAAAGCTTCCAGCACATCACAAGAATACTACAAAAAAGGTAAGACTTGGGTTTAAAAGAGTATATATAGTCTTACTTTTTTAACGCGCGTGGTAAGATCTTGGACGAACAGTTTGCGAAGGTTGTGAAGAGTCTGAAGTTCTCTTGCCTGGAACCAAAATAACAGTAACCAAAATAAAAGGCATAAACCTTTTTAAGATGTAGTTATAGTAGCTAGTAGATAGTCTGGTGTAAAAATTCTCCTCAGATTTGAGTCAACAGCAGGTAAAAGAGCTCTGGATTCATTATCTAGCAAATGCATTAGCCTGCTCTGAATGCTTACTCACAGGCACTTAGGATGTTTAAGTGCACTTAAGATGTTTAAGTGCTTTTTAAGTTTATGGCAAAAACCCAGGCTTTCCAAGTTTCTTTTTTTATATGCACCAACTTCTCAGGCTCAGCAACATAATCACCTTACTCCAGTTTGGGGGTATGACACACGAAGTGTAAACCCTACCCCTACTCCCAGCAGGAGGGAAGCACTTAATCCATGTGCAGGGAAGGAAATTATGTGGATAGGCAGTTCACGCACCCCAACCCCATATTGCACCAAAGCCATACTGAATGGAACTGTCTTTTCAAAGTTGCTAAGAGCAACCTTAATTTTCCCATTTTATGCTTATCCACTCACAGACTGGAATTTAAATAAATTTAAATAAATGAACATCCCCAACTCTCTCAGCCTTCCCTCATAGGTCAGGTGCTCCATCCCTCTGATCATTTTTGTGGCCCTCCTCTGGACCCTTTCCAACATGCCTGTATCTTTCCTGTACTGAAGGCTCCAGGTGGGGTCTCACCAGATCACAGTAGAGGGACAGAATCACCTCCCTTAACACACCAGTGATGAAGACTTAGGGGGCAAAAAGCTCAATAAAGTGTAATTAAGACATACCACTGTTTCCTCCAGCCCCTTAAGATCTTCTCTTGCTTGTTCCCTTTTATCATTAAGCAGTCTAGAAAGATCACAACATTGAATACAAATAAAAAATGTTGAAGTTGTATAAACAGAAAAGAATCAATCAACACTCAGTTTGAGTAGAACATCTGCAGATGAAAGCAAACTGTACATCCATTTGCATCTGTAATTATGCTTCTGACTGTCCCAAATATGCAGCTTTCTCACACAGAATGGCTGAGCCACCATCTCCATTTTTTGTGTCCACGCATGAAATTTTTCTCTCTCATTTCCAGAAACGGTTTTTACTCTAGCATCTATTTATTACTAAAAAAAAAAAAAATTCCAAAAACTCATTTTGCAACTTCTTTCTTGCCTGTTTTTTCTGTGCATTAAGGAATGAGGGACTGATAAGATATTTCATAAAATAAGATTTCTAAAAAAGTTTTTTTGGCAAGTATTGAGCCCACTACTGAAAAGCCTATGAGAAAAAAATGTGGAGTAGTTGGTAACCATTTATTAGCACTGCATCTTGGCTTTGTTACTGAAATGATCATTTCAGTGTGAATATTTCAACACAAATGCCTCTTTCCAGCACATCTCCCGTAGACACATTAAGAGATATATTGACAAGGACACCAGATGAGAAAACTGTTGACTTACATGAGCTTTTCCAGTTTCATTTCCCTTTCCTGGTCCTCAGTTTTTAATTTATCATAATCAGCACTCAGTTTCTCTTGTTCCAATTGAAGCTTCTGATTCATACTAGAACACAAAAGAAAAGGTCAGTACAGCTCAGTCCTGAACCTCATAAACAAGCATGGTAAATCTACATTTAAAAAATGGGTTTAGACAGAGGAAGGAAAAAAAAACGAAAGAAATTAGGCATAAAGAATCTGAAGAACAATATTTAAAAATATTGGAGAATTAGATTCAGTGGCTTGCTTCCTTTATCATAAAGGATGTAAACTGTTCTTGCCATTTTTCTGTCCTGCTTCCTCATGTTTCTCATTTCCTTATTATTAGTCTTTGGCCACATAATAAATATGATGAAAGGAACACTACGCATTAAGATTGCCTAGATTTTATGAACACTGACAAAAAAAAAAAAAAGTACAGGAGCAAAGAACACAATTTTTCAAATGCTGGAGTATCTGAATAACAGAGTTACATTGCTGTGTGAGGAAGAAATATTTAGAGTGTGAAAATGATATATATTTGGGTCACTCAGACTCTCAAAGCCTGTGGCAGGACTTTTTCTTATAAGATCCCCTCAAAACCTTTATATTTTAAAGCCTGTTCTCTTCAAAGCTTCTCTTACCTACATTATTCTGTTTTTCTCTCCACAATTTTATGGACTTGTTAAAGCTCCATAATAAAAAACCAGGCACTACTGTTATTAAAATAATGCAAAATAATCAGAGAGTTGTTGGTTGAATGAATGAAAACACTTCTTTCTGTAAGACACTGAAATATACAGACATCAGTTAAAACTAATAAAAAAAACAACCCCAAAACATCCCTACAGTATCACAGAACAGGACAGCAAAAGAAAAAGCAATAGAGCAAGTGAACATACTCTCTGATTTCATCTATTATTTTCTGCTTCTCCTCAATTTCATCCCTCAGCCTGGACAGCTGCTTCTGGTGGGCTTCCCTGTGACTCTCCATCTGCTGCTCCAGTGCCTTCTGCAGAGTACAAAACCCAGAGACATACATAAAACAGAAATCAAGTATCACAGCTAACCTTCCATGTCAGCTGAATCAACCTATCTTTCTGGATTTGAGTGAGGCTTATCAAATGAGATTAATTCAGGAATCTGCCTGATACATCTTAAAACTGTACATCTCCTCATCCAAACATTTAATTCAAACAGTTTTTAGCAACAGATGCCCACCAATTTCTACTCATTTTCTTGTGCGGGCCAGGGTCTTATGTCAAGTGCCAAGAATGACAGTTTTTACCACTCCTCTATTTTATGAGTTTATTCAGCAAGTAAATATATGTACAGCTATACCTGTGATAGAAGTAAAACTCATTCCCTTCTCACTCTGATAATTGTTTATCCACAGCCCTGTTATTCAAATTCTATGACTAAATATATCTCAAGTAGTAAGAAAAATTCAATGCATCTCTTTAGATTGCTAATAAAAGATTTGCATTTTTTTCTCCAACTGTAAGGAATAACTGTGCAACTCTTACTAACTTTAACTTCTTATAATTGAGGTGAAAGTTCTACAGGCAGCTGACAAACTTCTATCACTATCCTTGCAAAACTGTATTTTTCTTTCAGTTTGGAACTCCATTAGAAACACAACTCACACATTACTGATTAACATTTCATTGCATTCCAAAGGAAGAAGAAAATACCAGAAAACAGGTTTATATTTCATTATTATTTCTAGGAGATAGTTAGAATTCTTGCCAATTTTTTTAGGAAAGTGGCCTCTTTTTTTTTAGTACATGAATTATATCAAGCCCAGTATCCTGATTTGCCACTTATCAAATTGACTTTCAGCAGACTTCCACTGGCAAAAAATTAGAGTAACATGGAGGTGAATCAATATAATTTTCCAATCCTATATAACAGAACTGTTCTCAACTATATATACAATATACTGGGTATTATAATTTGGTTCTTTGTTCGTGTGATCTAAGGAGTCCAAGCATCTCCAATTCAGCAAACACAGTACACTGAACCTCTCTACCCTTTGGAACTGGCTCAGCTTAAAAACTGATGCACTCACCTCCCAGGATGTTCAGACTACGACTTACTTTTTTCCATCATGTGGTCAACAACCTCAACACTAGCAAGTTCTGATTTGACATTGTGAAGATCGCTCAGTTAAGTAAGGTCAAGTTTTCTAACTGAGACTGTCAGTTCTGACAGAAGCTGGAAGCGTTTTCTAAAAGCACGCAAAGGGCACAGGAAGACAAAATTACACCCTAATTACCAGCTTAATGAAGGATCTCACTGAGAAATGCCCTCTAAAATTGTAGCATGCCATACTACCTTCATCTCCTCTGCATCCTGAAGACGGGTCAGATGCTCTTTCTCCTTATCCTTGAAACTGACTTCATGCATCTTTTCTGTTTAAAGTCAAAAACAGTTAAGAATTAACTGCACAGTTCCAGGACATGCTACGTTGAGCCATTAAAAAAAAAAACCACAAAGTAAAGAGTTCCTCTTTTGGCAGGGGAATGAGGACAGACAGCTTTAGAGGGTCACAGTCATGGTTTGCGGTACCCAAGCTGTGACCATATTGCCCAAATCCCCTTCTCCTTTACTAACAAGACACATTTTTTTCAATCCACCCAAAACCTTTCCAACCTACTCTTGCTTCCTTATAAGCATACTTATTGCAATCTCCCTTGCCCTTTTCACTTTCTGCTGGGAAATGGTGCCTCTAGAACCAGGTCATTTCTTATGAGTGCAGTAGGAAGATCAGGACATGGAATAAAAAATCTATTCTAAAAATGTAGGAGATGTTAAAAAGAAAGTCTTATCACCACCTGCTGCTCCTGGAGTCAGAGAAGATCCCTCCTGCAGAAATCCAGAATAACGTTAAGGCTACAAGGTCACATTGTAATTTTACATAAACCAGGACCTTAGCAATGCCACAAGAACTGCTTTTTATACACATTTTCCACATTAAATCAGAAGGGAAAAAACAGTTCTTAAAAAGAAGTCAGCTGGATCCTACACAGGAGCTAGGAAAGACAGATCTTTTACTTGGCCCTAAGTGAAGCAGCTTGCTTTTGAACAGGGAAGGCCATTTGCCAGAGGGTCAACTGAAATCAGATGTATAACCAAGAATTTTAGAGAACAGAGACTTAGCAAGAATGATTGGTGTTGTCTGACTAAAGTATTTAGTTATGTTTTGGGTTTTTTGGTTTTGTTTTTAAATTTCTCACACCATTAGAGGTGAAGCTCTTGTTATTGAGTTTTTGATTCTTTTGAGAAATTAAGTTTTCTGTATTTTGTGAATGGGCTAGGCCGAAAGGGATAATTCTGGTTTTATCTGAAGTGTAATTTACTACAAGGAAGTGCAATATGTTAGATATTCTGAATCACAATTTTGTCTTCATCACAAAATACTAAATAGACAATAAAATGTCGTAGAACTACTGCACATATGATACCTTAGACAATACTGAATTTTCTAAGATATAAAAGAAATGATAACCACAAGACCAAATGTTGTACCTTGAGCACGCAACTTGGCAAGCTCTTCATTGAGAGAGTCCTGTGACTCTTCCAGTTGCCTTCTCTTCTGCTCCATATTTTGCATGTAGTCTGTAAGGGACTTGATCTTTGCTTCATGCTTTAAAGACAAAGGGAATAGCAATGAGATGCAAATACCACAGTTTGTTACCAAGGAATTAAGGTACTGTCCTATGTCAGAGAGGAAAAAGAGAAAGCTCTCCATATGCAGAGCTGATGACTAGGAGAAAACACAGCAAAAGATCTGAGAAAGAGCTAACAGAACCAAAAGAGACTGTGTTTTTAAAGGTCATATTCAGTAGCCCAAGACATATACCAAATAGCACAGGTAGTAATTCCAAAACATCAGGGCAAACATCATGGGAAGCTCATGACTAGGTGTCAAACACACAGCAGTAGTTCACTAAAACGAGCTAAACACCAGGCTTTTGAAGTGGCCTCTGGATGCTTCGACCTGCAGAAGCTCAGACTGACCTGCCCCAGCCATCATGACGATTTGTTTCTTCCTAACATCCTTCTGAACTAGAAGGCCTCATGTTTAAATAGCAAACAGTGGAGAACATAGTGAAAACTCAAAAAATTAAAATAAAATTTTCTAATTTGGGGCTAAATTCAAGTGAATTATTACATCCTATTAATAAGGCCACTTAAGCAGATGTCATTCACTTTGGCAGAGAGGAGTTGAGACCTCTGGTTTGGTGCTACTGTGAAGATCTGACTTAGAGAGGAGCTATCCCTAGCAGGAACTAAAATAGTTCATTCAGAGCCTCCTGGCATCAAGGTCTCTAGGAAGGGAAAGGTGCATTCCTGATTTGCATGCTTTGGGCAGGAGATCCTCTAATAGATTCCTAAATTTGAAAAGAAATCTGTCCAACTCCCAGCTTGGCTCCAAATGTTCTGTCCCCAGAATAGAGGCTGTTGGTATGGCACACAGTGGTGATGCACCATTTTATGGATCCGCTGAACACCATATCTGTGTAATCCTGTGATATGGCATTGCCATTGGCAGTAACAAGCCACCAGCTTTGGACTGAGTTTGCAAGGCCTCAGGACTGAGGCTTGCCAAGTTTGATCTCTCTAAGCTCTTCCCAAGCTGTCTCACAGCTTTTATTTCATTTCTTTTCCTTTCTTTTACACCTTTTCTTTCCTTTGTGGCTTTATAGATAATGTGCATTTGCCCATTAAAAAGATTCTGAGCATAACACCACCTGGCTTCTTCTCAGTTTTAAACAGACAGGCCTCAATATGCACTTAGATGCAGAACCTCCAAAATGCCAAGACAAGATGATCACAGGCCTAAGAGTATTTCTGCCTGGTTTCCTCATCATGTGAACATGCAGTACTTGAATAATCATCTCTCAAATCCTAAACCTCCAGTCTCCTGTCTGTAAATAGGTACTGAGGACAACAGTTAGGTCATGCCTGTGACAAGCTCTGAAGTTCTCTATGATTCAAGTGACTATAGTGTAAGGACACAAACACAAACCCTACAGAGGCACCTGGGCTGCCTTCCATTCATTCCTTCGCCAGGTCAGTTTAAGCCAGCACCAGGGCTGAAAGAGGCTGTCCCACTGCCTGCTGCTGAGACCTTTATTCCCAGCTCTGTGTTCCTGCTCCTTTCCTGCCAACAGAAGCATGTAAACAGCTGATTTGCAAGTCAAGCCTTAATCTGTGTTACCAATGCAAGTTCCCAAGGAAAGTGCGCAGCACATTTTGGCAGGATGACTTCTTTCAGTGGCCACGCCAGCCCAGAGTCTACTTTAAGACAGGATGAAAAGTATATTTTTTACTTAACATTTTTGGACAGCCAACACCCTCAGGGCTCTAGCCTCCCTTTATACTAAGAAGCATGCTTCCAGCTACAGTTTTATTAGGTAGAACTTAATAAAGACATTCTGCTGCAGGACCAGAAGCTATCCTTGCTCCAGGTTTATTCAGACTAACTGGTAGTAAATGAAATACAATAAACTGTACTGTGTTCTCCCCTTCACACGTCCACTTCAAAGCAACTGAGCATGTCAAAACAGCTAGCCCCTTTGCATGCAGGAGGCTGCAGAAAGCATGCACTGTAACTGCGATCCCCTGTAAAGCTCTCCTACCATGTGAATGTATTGCTACCTAGTTATTTTGGTAGCATGCTAACAGACAGATACAGAGGGCTCTCCAAATGATTTGAAAGTGGACCAAACAATCACTGCTTCCTTTCTCAGGCTGTTTTTTAGTGAAGGTATAAGATACAAATTCATGCTGAGGAAATCACTCAAGATGGATTTTCAGTATTATGCCATAGAACACATTTTGAGATCTACAGCAGAACATGATCTTGCCACAGAATGTACTGAAAAACATTGTGGGGGTGGAACAGGAGAAGACAGAAAAGCCCAACAAAACAGACAAGAGAAATACCACTCTGCTCCTTGAAGTCTCATTTCTTACTCTTGGCACATATTTCTTGAGGAAGAAGGCTGAGAAAGTCATCAAACTTTGCTGCAAAGGGATAAGGAAGGAGCAAACATACTTGTGAAATGAGCAGCTGGCAAGCTGCAAGCTCCCTCTCGCTGGCATTCATCTTCCTGTTGGAGTCTATCTGGGCACTCTCCAACTGCTTGCTGCGGTTCACCAGAGATTTCACCTCAGACTTCATCTTGCTGATGTAAAGCCGTGCCATGGTGAACTCCTCCTCAATCACGCCATTCACATCTGCTAACTAAACACAGAGAAGATTGCAGTCTTGAACGTCTGATTCTTAGAGGTAAGTCAGCCCAAAGCAGTCTTCCTGCTGTGAAACTCTTGTCTACAGCTAGGTAGCTTCTGTGAAAGCACAGCAGCCCTCAAGGAGTACCCATGGACCTTCAGGTCACCTTTAAACAAGTTAAATCACTGTTTCTTACAATTGGCATCGATAAGCCTCAAAAGTGAGAAATTAAGGCTCATGCTCACAGCATGCTTCATCATTTAGTGGTTCAACATCTGAAGCAATCAAGCTCACCATCATGGCAAGAGCTTATTTTGGAGAAACCTTCTCATGTCACCAGCACAGGAAATTTTTCTTTTTTCGAACTGCTAAAAGATGACAAACATTTTCAAAGTACTCCTTAAAGAACTTTCCTCTTGAAGGACTGTGCTTCTTCAGTAAGGAGCTGTAAGACAGACATGGGTCTGGAAATCTCACCTGGCAAGAGAAAAGTAATCGCTCTCATCTCTAAATATGAGTATCACTCTATTTATACATCATTTCCTTCCCTGGTTTTAATATGGTGCCTTTTATTTGTATGTCTTTCTCTTAACAATTTTTCTTCAACTACTTAATTCATGTAACCCACTGACAAGCTGTGAAGGTTCTTCTTGAGCAAACATATGGCTGGCAACTTCATTTGCTTTTTGCCTTTTTCCAAGCACTGCCAAGGGGAAGGTAACACGTGCTCTATCTTCTCCCAAGAGCCTAAAAAATGCAATTGCTTCCAAAACTCTCAGTCTGGTCTGAAATTAGACACACTTTGAGAACATGCTAATTGCCAACAATTTGAAATTATTCTTCTAAAAGCTTCTCAATCTGGCCTTATTTACACTGACAGCTGTCCTATAAAGTGCTGACATCTTAGTTACTATAAAAATTTGTATCAAACAGCCGCTGCCTCCAGTTTCAAAGATCGCTACTCTTACAGTTCCTACTACAATGGCCACCAGAGGTTGCTGTAGCATCTAGCGAAGTCTGGTCTCCTGGTCCTGGTGTCTGCATAACCTCATCAGATGAAAGGGATAATGTCCTCTGCAGCAAGTGCAGGCTGGGGCATCTGTTGATTTAAGGGGGCTTTAGCAGGATATCAACAACTCCCAGAGTCAACTCAAAACACTCCAGCCACACATACTCTATTTTAGGTTTGAATATTCGGGAAAGTTCATTGCTCAAAAACTGTGAACTAAAAGCAGGGGAAGGAAGTACATTGCAAAGAATTTACATACATGGTGAAAATTAATTTCTTAATCCAGTTTTAGCAATTGCTCTTTTTCAGATGGTTTTAAATGGAGAGATAAGATGGCATTAACATCACCCAGAACATTTTCCTGGCTATGAATATTTCCATCAGGGATGTGCCATTTAGCAATGACCACACAAGTATCTTCTGTGAGACTCAGCATTTTGCTCATATGCAACAGGAGCAGTGTGACAGAGTAGCCACCTCCTCTACTGTATCTGTAAACCCAGGAGCCAGAGAGAAAGCAAATTTCAAAGTGAAACTGGACAAAATTTGCTCCATCTCCTGGCATGTTCAGATGCCAAGGTTTCTGTCACTTCAGCCACCTTCAATCCTGTTCTTACCTCCTTACTTCAGAGGAAAAGGATCCTCTGCAGCTTTTCCTCTGTAAAGGTCATTAGTCAATATACAAAAGTTAAGCTGGTCTTACTGTCATGCAATTATTTATGGGGTATCTAGCACAAATTTACCAGTGCTGGAAATCAGTAATTTTAAAGCATCTTCTGCTCAGAAACACACACGGAAGTGTGGGCTCTTTGATAAAGTGCTGAAAGGTTGTAAACACCAGAATGCAGAAACCATAATTTCTGCGCTGCTGTTTTGATTCAGGTGCCCTGAACAACTGTCAGTACAGACCTCTGGCTTTGGGAACTGTTCACCTTCAGCTACACAACAGTTTTAGGACAAGCTTCAAACAAAGATAGCCAGCCAAAAAGCCAAATCTCACCAACAAAGATTCTTCAGATTCTGGGAATACTGGGTCATGCCAGCTAACGAAGGAATAAGGCTATGTGTGTAGTCTTGTGGGGAACTCAGATCCCTCCATTAATAAATGCATAAACACACGGATAGGCTGCATTAGTCTGACCCCAACCATGAAGCTGGGAATAAGAGTGCCAACTGTGTGCACAGACACTGACTGACCATCTCTGACCCAGACAAAGACCTCTTCAGTATTTTACTCTGGTTCTAGCCATGATTTAACAGCAATGTCCTGGGAGAATAACATGTATCACATGTATTCCACATCAAGTATTTTCATATTGCAGGAGGTGGGTGGGGCAAGCAATAAAGATGGCCAACTTACTGTTTTAACATCGTTAGTACCAATGATACCTCCAATCTCTCCCAGGTCCTTAAGCAGCAAGTTCAAGATTTCTGTAGCTCTTTTCTTCTGATGGTTACTGAGCTCCTGCAACTGTCCCAATTCCCTCTGGGTCGCTGTCAGGGCACTCTGAAACAGTTTAAGAGAAAAAATTAGATTCACCCCAGCACACTGGGCATCAGTTTTTGTGTGATAACCAGGTAACAGCATGATGTCTTGTACTTTCCTGAATGTGCCTACTAGCTCCATGTACTGTCACGTACAATTCTACCTTGCCATAATCCACTTTTGCAACTCACTTGCTAACAAGGCTACTTTAGATCTATTAAATGTAGTAAATCCGGTAAGAATCTTACTTGCATAATACATGTCAAAGAAGGTTAATCACAGAGAAACAGGTATAGAAGGATATAAAATTTGATTTTTTTCAAATGGATTTCATAGTAATCTGTTTTACTGAAGTGGGTAATGAAGCTTTCCATGAAAACAGACCTGCTACTCAGCATGCATAATGAATTAAGGAACATGGATGTATTAAGCTAGTAAGCAAACCTTGATTTTTCTCAGATTTTTTCCTTAAGTTCAGTATAAATCAGCTGAAAAAAGCTGACTTTTTTCCTGATTCACTCCCCGAGATCCCCTGACTCAATATAAAATCCCTGCTCTGCAGCACAGAGTCCAGAAAAACACAAAATGCTGCAATTTGCATAAAGCAGATTTTCACATCTTTCTTGGCATAATACAGTTTTTAAATACCCTAAACACAGAATGGCCAGTTCTCACATTCAGTTCAGTTACCTCTATGGTGTGCAAAATAGAGAGGTTGCAAGAGAGACACAATCTGAATCTGCCATCAGCTCCCATAAAGTATCTTCTGAATTACCTTAATTTTATTTTTTAAGTAAGAAAGAGGTCAGCCTCTGCAAATAATGGATCTTTTAACAGCTTCCCTGATACTTCCAATTTTTAAACTACATAACAACATGCTTGGCAGCGGTATCTGAAAGATTCCTGAAACAGCAAAGGCTAGCAATTTTCTGGGAACCCCTATGGAAATCTTTAGGGGAGGTGCAGAGTTAGGGGGTGAGAAGGGAACCAGCGCTATAAACTGCTTGCTCTTACACTCTTCTGTGCCAGCTCATCAGCCAGTTGCTCATTGGCCCTTGTTTTATCCTCCACTTCTTGGGATTTCTGGTCATAATTGACAGCTAATTCTTCCAGGGCTTGAAGGACCTCTTTTACTTCATCTTTTGCTGCTTCATTCTCTATCTGAAGACGGGTCAGCTCCTCTTGAATCTTCTCATAATCTCTCCTAGTGGAGGCCAAAAGCTGGAAACCAGATATCACAGAAGCATTAAGTCACACAGAAACTCATTCAAAAGACAACACTGAAAAGGGCAAAACCAGACAAAGTGTGAGCACACAAGCATGTGTGCAAGAAAGAAAAAGCACAGGAGAAGAAATCCTGCCACTCTACCAGAAATAGCATCGGTTTTGGCATAAATGTATTTGAAGGAAGCAAAAAAGGCTCTGAACTTCAATAAAAAGAAAAATCTTAATCAAATGCTATTTGGACAAGAGACTGAGGTAGAGAAACTTGTTTTAAACAGAATCACAGCTCCAAATAATTTTTTTTGCCCTCAATCCAATGCTGCAGCTAGGACTAAAAAGTACCAAAGTAAAATGTTTAAACAGAGACTCGTAACTTTGAACTGAACCAAGTAAAGGGCTCTCTGAGGCAGCCTCAAAGATCTTGTGGCATTACAGAAATATTTTGATAAGCAAACCTATGATGTTTTTTCTTAGTTATCATCTGAAGCCTGATGCTGAAGACAGATAAACTGCTCGTATTTGCTGAGGCACAATATTACCTATGCTAGTATTTCCAATTTGTAAAATGTATTAAATTTACTATTTGCATCCTATGGAAAGAGATGCTGAAGTTTCAGTAACAGTGCTGATTGTAAGGAATCAGTTGCATGGTCCTCCCCCTTGCTCTTGCACCACTCTATCTTCATTCAGATGTTAAAATCTTGAAAATTAAGCTCTCAGGTTATTAGCACAAAGCCAGACTCAACTGCAGCCATGTACTGCAGAATGATGTGAAAATAAATAAAAGGTGCTACCCAACATTTACTGCTGATACTGTACTTTCAAGATTAGTAACAAAATTGGCACTTAACATTGCTTAAAAACGTAAAGTGTAGAAAAATAATATAAAACTGGTGCATGAGAAACAAGAAGGCATTCATGCTCATCCTAACAGCAAAGTTTGGACATTCATTCACAGAACTCGCTTATTTCCAAGCCTTCCTCTGTACATATTAGTATAACATTACTGTATTGCAGCTTTCTTGGACAGTAGAACACAACCTGCACTAAATTGTGCTGGGTGGACTCCTCCTGACCTGTCCCACCACTGCTCACTGCCTCCCAGATCGTGAAGAAATTGAGTGTGAGAACCCAATCAAAACAGAAGTGTCTCTCTAAAACAGACCACCTAAAAGGGAATGTCAGAGAAGACATCGCTTTTTTTTTTTTTTGGCTCAGAGTGCTAATGGAAAATAGGAAACCAACCAGGCAGCTTCAGACACTGGCATGTGCCCAAAGTGGTGAAGAGAGGATTCAGATGTAAGGGAAATTTATCTCACTGGTAATGCTGCAGCCTCAGAAGTGCACTCACATTATGGAAAAACCCACTGAATTGCCAAAGCCAGATGGCATGTAAATATTTAAACAACAAAATAGCTTAAAATAATCTTTCTACTAAACACAGATGGAACTATTATTTACATTTACTTAAGAAATTTACTGTGTGAATATTACTGCGACTTCAAGTAAAGGCAAGTGTTATGTATCACCTAGAGCATAAACACAGCTCCCCAGAAGATTCTTGTTGATATAATGTGGAAAAATATACCAAGATTTTAAAAGGCTATTAATAACACATTATACCAATCAGTTCTAAGGAAAGGGAGGGAGATGGCTGCAGCACTTTGTTGATCTGTTCACAGCATGCAAGATGTAAGGGTGGAAGATTCAGAATCCCCCCCAAAGCACACACCCTAAGAAGCAGCCAATGAAAAGGTACTAAAGACACAAGAATCAACACAATGCCATCTGCAGTAGTCCTCTAGATTTATAATTAACCTGCTGGCTTAATCAAGCATGAAAAGTACTCTAGTTAATTAGGGGGAAGCAGAGTGAGGCAGCTGCTCTGCAGCTACTGTATAATGGAGCTAATCACGGCTCTAAGAGAGAACAGGTACATCGCTCCCACAGTGCTTACTCGTGGAAGACAAACCTTGAAAAATTAATTGAATTCCTTTAAAGAAAAAAAAAAACAAAAATGTCACATTAGCTGTCAAAGGTAAGAGACGGACATGCTTCTTGGATGAACCTTCTGTACAAGCTGTGCAACATCAGCTGCAGAGACTTCAGTAAGTCAGCAAAGCTAGATTAGAATATATGCAAAAAAGGGGGGAAAATGGTCTATAAAGCAAGGATTAGAGGCCTCCAAAAACATTAGTCATCTTCCAGATGTAATACTGAGTATGGAACACAGAACGTGAGGAATAAACCGGTGTACAGCACGCTTCCAAATATCTAACACAAATAAAGGAACGCACATCACCCAAAAATTAAGACAAAAAAAAAAAAAGACACAAGAAAAACTGTGAGGGGAAAATAAGCTTTAGATGAGAAGAACATTGATGTAAAAAGATGGTAGAAGTGAGACGGTGTAAATAACATGTCAGAAAATAACGCTGCTGAGAATGCATAAAATTCTGTTACATGTGTATAGCCATGATATGGGTAGCACAATCAAAAGAAAGTTATGGCAAGTGAATGAAGAATTTAATCATGGACTAAAACTCCTGCAGTGAGGACAAGTCCTCAAAGGTGGCAGGTAAGTCATGACTGATGAGTAACAGACATTTTTATATGTTGTTCTCTCCCTCTTAAGGAGCTAAACCTGGAAACTTTCTTGAGGGTTTTGATAAGGATTGATACACGGACAGAATAATTCTCTTCAATTACAAGAGAGGTTTCACACCCCAAAAAAGCAGCCAGCATAATGCTGTACTCCAGCTGAAGTGGCTCAAGGAGCTACGATAGGCACTCTCCTAAAGAATCAAGGCAATGTTTTGTGCAAAGAGAGACCAAAGTTTTGGAACACTACTGATGGGTGAACTCTCACACCAGGATTATATTTCTTGGTCAGAATAGTGCAACGGTCTCATAAGAAAAATGTAAGGGCCTTTTTGTTTGGTGGTGGTTTTTAAAGGTTTTTACCTCCTCTTGATCCAACATTTGTTGCTTTAGCTTTTCAGCCAACTGGCTCTGCTGGTTGATTTCATCATCCTGCAATGAAAGAGGGTTGGAGATTTTTAGTTTCTTTTCACAGTTCTTGTTTGGTCACTTCTATTTCTCCTTTCTAGAAAAGAAGGAGCAATAATACCATAGCAAACCTTCTGCACGTTCCGGTGGTATGAGAGGAGAAAAATATACATACACAGAGATACAAAGTAAAAGCAATGCATGCATGCAGTTGTCTCTACTACATACCTAAGCAGAAGTGTCCCTCATGATAAACAAGATACTGAAGTGATCAGAGTTGGACCTTATAACTTTGACAACATACATGATATTTTATAGATGTAAATACATATAGACGTACAAATACATATACAGTCTCTCTCCCACTTACCCTATCCCCATATTTTAGCTAAAGAGAGATCATTGGGGACAGACTGCAACTTACAGCTAGCTCTGAAATGCATTCATGTACTGCATTAACACTCAAAACACCACACAGAACTTGGAGCACTCAACTGCAGAATATGCATTTTCCTACTCCCACCAACCCCTTGAGGGAAATACTGACAGGTAATACATAGCCAGGCATCCAATTCTACTGGCATTTCAACTTCCTTAAGACAGCATCCTCATGGGTAGGAACTGATCTTAAATACAGACAAGAAATGATGATGGACTCTTCCGTACAAGTCCTTCCTCCAAAACACCAGAGGAGGCACACCAAGCACAGCCTCTGACCAAGTCCATCTCTGTTCTTGTAATGGATATCCTTCTCTAAAGGAACTTACCAAAGATAAATGGTTGCTTTTTATCTTATCACAGTCAATTTTTATTTTGTGTTTCACTGACAAGCATTCTAACAGATCTATTCTGATAGCAAATACTCCAACTGAAGTGGCTCAGGCAGCTGGGAGAGGCACCCTCCTAAAAAAATCACAGCAGCATTTTATGCAAAAAAAGACCAAATACAGCTATTAAGTAGAATATATTGAGTCACTTGCTAATATTAAAATAGACCCAGATTCAATATAAGACTGGTCTGCACTATAGCAAGTTATAAATAGCAGTATTTTGGTTTTGTTTGGGGGATCAAATACCTCATTTCCTATAGTACTGCACTAATGCACCAAATTATGCTTCCCATGTTTTCCAGGGTAAAATTCAAAGCTGCTACCAGTTCCCTCAAGAACAATTCAGTGGGCTTTGCTACTTTTGATAAGGTAAAGTGAAAGAATGACTGACTTCTTTTTTAATCAATACATAAAAGCTAGAGACAGCTACCAGCAATGTATTCACCACCACAGAAAAGCTGTCACTTCTTGAAGAGTTTAACTGGTATTTAGAATGACATCAACATACTGCTGTGGGCCACTGGACTGTGCAGAGAAACCTCATGCATGTCAGAGTTAAGGCTTAAACACAACTGTTCACTCACTGCCTTGGTATTCAGAAACAGCTAAACTTTAATATTAACATATAAGGAAACAGTGGGCTTTTCTTTCTGATATCTTCTTGCTAATTACAACTGAAAGTTAAAATCAAGTTTTGAGTTCATATGGTTAAAGCTACACTGAAAATTTTTGCTAGATAGCCTTTTACACTGTTTGTATCCATGATGGGTAATGGTTTTAGTATGCCTTTCTCCCCCTTATTGTCACACAGGAGAAAGCTATTAATGGCAAACACTCAGTAAGCATACTGCCGATAGCTTTAAGTGCCAATGATGTATTTCAAGCTGAATAAATAAATAAATAAATAAGCCACTTGCACTCCAGGCATTGTTCACAGCTAGAACAATAAGAACAAAAGACACACAAGGGATAGTTACATATTTTCATTAAAATTGTAACACATAATAAACACGTAAGAGACAGTCTGCCCTTTTTTCTTTCTCCTGTGCCTTCAAGGTGACACTACAGTTTGCTGAGGGATTTCACAAAAATTGCTGAGGAAAAGGAGCACTGAAAAGCCTGTACTGAGCCCTTAAAAATTAAAAGCAAACTTGGCTCGATTTTATGAAGAATATCCCAAATCTATCTGCAGAGTGAACATAGGCAGATAGCTGACATGAGAGAACAAAATCCAGTTTTATGCAATGACAGTGTTCTGAGCTCTGGGACACTTTCCACGTTGTGGTGTTCAAGAAATACAGAGATACACCCACCCAGTTTGGGCAAGTCTTCCATTTACACACAGTGAATGGAGTCAAACCAAATATTCACACCTTATCATCCAGCTGTCTGTAGAGACTGGCAATCTCATCATCGTATTTCTGCTTCTCCTCTGTTGAGATGCTAGCAACAACTGGTGTGATGTTGTCAATAATGGGGGTGTTATCACACGGCTCCAGGTTTTTCTGGTCCTTTGCACTGATCTGTTCATCTTCAGGCACAGCTTCTCCTGAGGGCACACAATCCATGGTCATTACAATTCAAAAGAGAGGGTTGCCCAAAACTGTGGACATCCTAGGATGGTCCTGCACAGTTGCTGAGAGGGACTCAGCAAAGCCAAGAAGGATTGTATCCCGCTGTGTGAGGCAGGGCAACTGCCATGCATACCAATCATAGGCAAAAGTAGCTGTGGAAAGAAGTCCATACTCCTTAGAAAGACGATCTCCGCAGACAGAAATACATTATGCAAAATGCAGCGACACTTTTGAATGGCTGCCTAACACCGAACTCCTGGCTCCCCTTTCACTCAAGCCCTCAATCCATGAGGCTAATCTCACCTATAAACAGAAGTGTAAATAAGGAGGAAAAAATTCTGACTCTCAGCCTAAAGTTTACTGGCAATTAAATGCCTCTTCCTCTCCAGATTTCCAACTGCCTTATCAACTATCCCTCCCCCATCATGAACTGCTAGAGCACCAGGACAACAAGGAAGAGAGATGCATTTAAAATGATACCCACCTATTGCCTTGTCAAATCTAAAATTAAAGTGCATACACCAATTTCCAGATGTTGCCTCTGCATACCGGACAGGATGTTCTCTCTACACATTTTCTTTCAAATTCATTTTCTTTGAGGAATATTTTCTTTGGTAACATTGGCGCATTGCAATTATGAGCCTGCTTCAGTTCAGTGAAGAAGGACAGGCTGGGCACTCATGTCAGAAATTGAATCTACTGTCATTAGAGTCCGGTAAGAGACTCTGCAAGCCACTGAATGCTGCATGCATTGCTCGAGGTGTGGGAAGGTTACATCCAACCCTTCTGTACAAACAGGTTTTTTTCCTTTTCTATTGAGGGCTACAGTATTTTAGTCCCATAAATCTTTACTAACCATTCCTCTTGCCAAAACAGAGTAGGCACTATTTATCTTCCTGGCAGGGAAACAAGTACACAGGACAAATATATCAAAAACCAGAAAAGCAGACTCATTCAAGCCCCAAACTAAAACAAAACAGGGCATGAAAGAGCACAACCAACTACCGAAAAAGGTATTTTTTTCAAGCATAAAGCATGAAAAAGAGTAATTTGAAATCAAACACCAAAACCTCTATAGAAGAACTTAAACAATTTTGCCCTACTGCTAGTGGCTTGATCATATATCTTATTATTAATGAGAAAAATGTAAACTGATTTTTTATTGTTGCATTTCACTGGAGCAGACTAGGAAAGGTGGGCTTAGTCAGATCATGGGACCTTGCATACATGGCATCACTCCTCGGGCTGCAGAGAATCCATCAGTAGCCTCCGAAAAGTAACGTTTAGATTTTTATTCTTTGGATAAGAATAACCTCCTATGTGTAAAACACAGACCAAATTGTGCATTTGGATATGAGGCTCTGAAATCCTGCTCCTGTGAGAACATGTTTTCTGCTACAATTTTTTTTTTTGCATATTATTTTCTATATTTATAGACTAAACTATACCAGTAGAATATTTATACATCTGTCCTGCAATTCATACTCAAGATGCAATTCCTGTGACACTTTCATTTGTAAAGAGCCTCCTTTGACAGAGTAGCTTTCCAAATGACACTACTGCAGAAGGTCAGGCAGGAAATCAATAGTATTTTGAATGCATTGAATGCATTGGCTGGGTAATGCCAGTGAGAAAAGCAGGACAGACAGAGGGGATGAGGAAGTGTGTATATTTAAACAAAACAATAGAAACAGCGTGTTGTAAGTCTCATTTAGATAGCATATAGAAAGGATCTGTACAGGGCTTTCTAAAAAAAAATAAAAAATAAAAATAACACAACAAAACCAAAAAACCAAAGACCAAACCACCCTGTTTCTAGAACAGGAAGAAAATTAAAGTCATCACATTTAGCAAACACAGAATGAAACACACAGAACATGAGTGGGTTACAAATCCCCAGCACTCCTCAACACCAAGAGCAGACTGACCGTCTCCATAGCAATTGCACTATGCTGATAAGGGAAATATTCCCAGTGCTGAAGTCTCCAGAGAAAGACACAGAGTGTAATCATTAGGTAACAATCTCATCTGAAAGGCAAGTAAACACCACAGTTTGCTGAAGGAGGAAGCAATTTTTGCACCCATAAAGGTCAGGTTTTCTCAGTGATTTCACTCAGGATGTTCAAAACCAGACTTGACTGTACAAAACAAATTGTAACTAATAATTAAATCATAGATCTGTTCTTGCTTTAGATACTTCACTTTTGCAAGAGTTACATGCTATTGACACATCAACACACAAGAGCCTGGATGACAAGAAATTAAAAAAATAAAAATGACTCCAAAGCAGCAGTATTTCACTGCTGAGGGTTTATTGAGCTTGCAGGGTACAAGGGGGATGCAGGGTAGTTTTTGCGCGGGCCGGTTGCTGTTGGTTTAGACTTTCTTTTTTCTATTTTGTAATGTGTGGAATAATAAATAAAAGTAAGAATGGTTTGCTAAAATTATTTGTCAGAATTTCAGATTAAATAAAAATTATTCAATTTTTTATACATGCAGAAAAATCTTCTTCCTCTATCACACTATATACTTCATCTCACAACCCACCCTGAACAGTCTATGTTTCTAAAAAGAGAATTGGCTGTTCGCAACATAAATTTCACTTAAAAGCCACAGGAAAAGGCAAATGTGATTCTTCTAACCAGATCACTCTCCTAATTGTTGTACTAATTATTCTAATGTTAAACTCAATTATAAAAAAAAACCAAGATCTAGCTACCTTAAAAGCATAGCAGAACTGATTCTCATACCTAAGGAACAGAGTTTCTTTAAAAGAAAACTAAACATAATGGCATTTTACCTTTTCTTTATTAATATTACTAACATCATTAAAAATTATTGATGTCTTCCTGGATTCTGTACATCTGATATCATGCTAGTTTTGGCATTTAAAATGATACCTTCTCTAAATGGCTTCTCCTTGTTTATTTGGTATTTGCTTCTACACCTTTCAGTTACTATGAAGTGTGAGCAACAACTCTGAATGGTGAACTTAGTATGACACTTGTGACTTAGGGCAAGATTTTAACGTATGTAACTTAAAAATGCAAATATATATACCCATTCCCATATTCTGGTACCTACCATTTCTCCACCTGTTCAGCTCCAGCTCTAGATGCTGAATAACATTCTTTAAACTCTTGTTTTTGTCTTTTTCCTTCTCATACTTTTTCTTCCACTCCTCTGCAGTCAGCTCCAGATTCACAGAGACTGTGTTCTTGATCGTCTTAGCTCTGTACAACAAAACAAGTTGTCAGTTGCTCTGCAACATTTAACTTAATAGAACAGTAAGGATTCAGAAATTTTTCTGAAACACAAAGGGAAACTACTAAACGTTTTCAGTTTCCTGAACTGCAGTGCCACAATTCCATTTTTTCCCAAACCCTCAGTACCATTACTCCTGGAAGCCTCGACAGAAATTTCTCTGTATCAAAATCCAGCAGCCACTGACTTAGAGTGGCTTAGACTTTTTCCTCCAAAAAGGGACACTCTGGAAACAGTTCTTGGATCAAGGACAAAACCAAATCCTGTCATTACTGTTCTGCTAGGTAAGCTACCACCTTGCAGCTTCTTCTGAAGTGAGACCCACAGTACAGTATGCTGTATCAATGTCCATCCACAGTCTCATCCCATCTCTTAACAACCACCCCTTGAACTCCACCAACAAAACTCAGCCACATTTTCAGCACCACAACATGAGGGATGTCAACACAGTAAAGCAGAGATACAGAAACTCATAATTCTTGAAAGCTAAGCAGTGCTTTAAAACACATTTTCGGGGGTGGAAGGAGGAGAACTGCTGTCACCACCAGGTAACTCAGTTACTGGGCTGAGGAAAGTTATCACTGGGGAGGAAGCCTAAACTTGTGCATGTGCCACTGCAGACTGGTTCACGAGTTACTGCCTCTCTAGGCAAAAATAACACAAAATTTAAACCGTTCTAACCATGACCACCACTACTTTATTACTGCTTAGCTTCAACTGAAACTAAACGATAATATCAGAAATGCAAAGCAAGCAGGAAGAAAAAAAAAAAGTGCAGAACCTACTCTAGGAAATCTACATTTAAAAAGAAAAACCAAACAAATTGGTATGGATTAAGAAAACTTTGTATCTTTGCCCTTCACTGCTCTGAGTCCCTCCAAATGACTCCCACGTTATTGAATAAAATACAGGCTAAGTAAAGGAGTAACAGACAAACCTCCCACTAGTTTGTAAAGCATAGGCTGAAACACCAGTGTAAGAAACTACACCTGGGAATGGGCTATGGATGCACTGGCTAACTCTCCTCTGGGGCAAGCATGTGCACTTAATTATGCTGTTCACAGCTCCATTTACTGATTGTAAAGCATCCTTTAAATGTGGCCAATCACTAAAAGTCCTGAAAGTTTGTTTTGTCAGCAAGAAAACACTCCTGTATTTGTGCCCCATACTGCACTCCACTGATTTGCACTATGCAGCAAGCAGGAGTTTTATAACCTTAGAAATATTTTAAAATAACTCTCTACTTTAAAGATAACAGTTAGCTTTTACATACTGTCCCTGCCAAAAGCATGGCTCAAGTTTCCACTCATTTAACTGGGGGTAGGGGGGAAAATGCCACACCATAAAGTTTATCAACTACATTATCCTTTGTTGGATAAAGTACTTACTAGCAACTACAATTAAAAATAATATAAAACCACAAGAAAAGATGGAGCAGAAAGAAAAGAAACTGACTCACTTGTAACAGAGGAGTACATGCACATGTTGATTAGTACAAGTGGGCCTGTGAAGATGAATTTTACTCCTGACACTTATTTTAATGGTGACATAATTCTTTTTTTGCTAGGGAAAATGGAAGACCCAGTAATCACCCGTGACTCATGTACCTTCCCTTTAATGTTATTCAGGTCCTTAATACTGTCACATCAGAAAAATGAAACACCACAACCAAAGAGCATGTAAAAGAACCACTTCCCATAGACAGCAATATTCCTATCCAAAACATGACAAATAACCCTGTGTATGTATAGTATGTGCATTGCTCTGCAGTCTAGTGCATCACCTGTCCTCCTACTTGTGTTTCCTTTCCTACAATTAAATGCTGTCCACAAAGAACTCCTGTTTTAGCCCAATTCTATAGCTTTTAAACAAAGAAAAACCCCACAATAAACCCCAACCAAGCACTGTCTCAAAGTATTTAGTTGTTTTCCTAGTTCTTCAGCTGACATTGTAGTCAGTAAGGAACATCTCAAAAATGTTTCTCTCCGTAGAAAAGTGTTAGTCATGTCACATCACTCCAATCTCTGCTAGCCAGGTGTGCAGAATCAGTCTGAAAATTATTTTGCCCCAAACAGGAAGATAAGTTTTACTTATTACTGAAAAGAGAAAAGAAACTGAGAGAAATGTAAGCTGAAATAACATGGAAACTGGACTTCCCCTCCACATACTGCTTCAAGTACTCAAGCATACAACTTCCAGAGATCCTGGAGCACTACAGAGCAAAACAAAACACTTCTAATTTAGATTTTAAAATAAAATATTTTTTAAAAAGCTACATTACCTTTTAATCATCTTAATGTGAACTATTCTATTTTACTGCTTACATTACTTTTTACTTCAAACTAGACCCTACAGATAGTTCAGCATAACAGCAAGAAGACTGAGAACTAACACAGTACCTACTCATCTACTTAAAATTAATTGTTCCTGTTGCTGCATTACTGCCCTGGATCCCTATCCAGAATGAATCAGCAGGACCTTTGTGACTGCTCTTTAGGTCTACAGAGGTGCAAGATTCACATTTACCTGACATCACCTGCAGTTAGAAAATTGTACATGGGGAGGTTTAAAATGAGGTTTAGACTATTAAGACATTTGAACTTCTACGATCAACAAAAACAGTGCAACTCATACTTCAGAATTGTTATCACTCTTTGTTTAATTCCTGCATCTTAATATTTGCATTTTCTCAAAATTTCTGTGACACATATGAGATTTCAGTAAAAGCTTACATCTTTAATAACTTAAATTCATGTTCAGCATAGAATGCTGAATTAAAACTGCATAGCAACCTTTAACCTGATTATGTTAATGACCACTTCCTCCTTTTAAATTCCTTTTTCATAAAACCTTACTGCAGTGACCTGCAAACTTCCCTTTGGGGAGTTTTTCCTGCATGCTGCTTTTTAAGTGAATAGCTTACAGTTCTGCAGTAAACAAAGGAAACACTGTAGAGGAAGCAGAGATCACAGAATTTCAAGCTTTTTGCAGTTACCTTGCTTGCAGCACACCTTTCACAAATCCCAGCAGCAGATGACAAGGACCAGTTAATACACTGGCTCTGGCAATGCCAGATGGAGAGCATGTTGCAGAACTGTTCTCCAGCCCTAACCCATACTAATCCACAACTTGCCATTAAGAGGCATTGCAGCCAAAGGCAGCTATTGTCCTGCCATTTCTATGTACTCTTGCATGAACATGATAAAGAGATCATCTTCCCTCATGAAAATCTAAGGAAAGCTCACATTAAAGGATAAAAGTAGGGCAATGAATTAATAGAAGATTGTCAGATAAATTCTTTATTTGTGATCTTACTTTCCAATATAAAATGCTTCTTAACAGTGTGGGGTTCAATGCAAAAAATTATGCCTGGTGGAAAAACAACCCATTTTCAGAGTAATTCACTGCATTGTACAAACTGTTAAATAAATGCTATTTCAAACAATCATAATTTGCTAGAATTTTTTTCTGCTATTATAAACTGAAATGAGTAATTTTCCAAGGTATCAGAGTTCTCCTCAATTACAACAAAAGCAGTAACTGTGTAATGAGCCTGATTTATTTTTGCAAACTTTCCAAATATTTTGCAAAATAAAAAAAAATATTAAAATTATCTATTATATAATGTATATATTATATACAATCAATACATTAAAATTTAAAATATATACTATTATAAAATATAAATAAATATCAGTATTTTTGCAAACTTTTCCAAATGGAATATATTTATTTCATATGGCTATTGCAAACACATACGGAAGAGAAATTTTCTTTCTTTCCATACTTACTCTGTCCTTGCTTTTATCTGAGGCCTTGTCCTAAACTGTTAAGATCCTTCTAATACAAAAATGTCCATGAACTATCATGGACATGTATCAAAGTTGTGAACATCACACAGAGCCCAGTCTTCATTTTTCTTACCAGTAAAAGATGTTTTTTTACAGTCATAACAATAATCCCTGAAATGCCATTCAAGGAGAATACACCTCTTAAAAGCATCAAGAGCAGTATCAGATAAAGCAAACCTGAACATTTTCCACTGAGTTAGCCAACAGAAAACTGCCTAATACCATTATCTTCCCCATAAAATCTCAAAGAACTATGATAACACTTTGTATTTTCTGCAAGAAAGATTACCAGAGCTTAGAAGTAGTGCAGCTGCAGGCCAACATTAATATTTATCTTGTACCACAGGGAATGAAGAGACAGTTTTCTCAAATTCTACAGTACTACTTTGTAACAGCTCCAGAAACATAACCTCCCTATTTTAAACTGCCTACTCATTTCACTCCCCTTGGCTGGCTTGGAACATGTGGAAGAGCCCACACAAGTGTCATGCGGCCTAATGCCTAGTAGGACTCACCGCTGCCCAAACATCAGGGTTGACTTTGTTTCTGCTTCATTGAACACAGAAGGAGAACAGCATATAACAATAGTAGTTCTGCAGTTGCCACCAAGGGAATCCTGAAGTATTCGGGTCATTTTGCTGTCTCGGTATGGAACATGGGTTTTCTAATCAAATATAAGTAAGAGACAAGAACAATGTTTTAAAATAATGATATCGTAATGAGAGAGAACATGAGTCAACAATGACAGGTTTAATGGACTTGAAGTATACAATCCTGAAGAGTAATTGTTTTGACTGTGCTAAGATCGGATAACCACTCAAGTGAAATTCAAGAAAATGAGTTTCTTATCTTTAGCAGAATAGCAAAAGTGTCACTGGTTTGTACTTGGAAAGCTAATATTTTCTTCTTCCTCAATTGAAATGTTAGCTTATTTTTTTATGCGCATGGCAAAGAAACAGATAAATAAAAAGCCATTCTTCAACAACACAAAACAGGATTACTTACAGTTCCTTCTGCCAAGGCAGATATCACATTGCCTAAAGCAGACAAAGACTTATTGATATTTTTAGCTTCATCAAGAACAGCACCCTCTGCTCCAGTTTTGCTGACCTACCAAAGAGAACACGCAATAGTCAGGCTCAGCTATCAGTGAGCATCTGTACAAGTACGGCTTCAGTGCATAAAGTGTAACAGTTAAAGATACCCTTGGAATTAAAACAAAGCAAGCTTAACCTCAGCGTGAAGAAGGAGAATTTTTTATGCACTTTTCTGTTAGTAGAAGCCTGTAGTAATACTTCCCTTTTATTCCAGCGTAAGAGCAAGTTGATCCTTACTTTGTGAAGGGAAAAGCTGGTAAGGCTGTGCTCACCTGAGGACACCTGGGGACTACTTCCAAGTCTGAACGGCACAGGAATATTCTCAGCACACACTTACTGGCACAGTAAGCATCTTGGCTTTGTATTTTGCTTGCATGGACCGAGAATATGAGGGTAGAAAAAGCATGATCTTGCTCATCCTGAAGGCAAGGTTTACTGGTCCACAAACTGGATCCCAAGGTGGCCCAGTTGAGAAGTTCGGTGGCCTAAGACCAGCACTCTTTTAGACAGCAACACATTTTTATCATCTTTCCTGTCTCTCTTTTTCTGGGGGGGTGGGTAGGGTGGGGAAGTGCACGAAAACATATAATAAAGCCATATATTTTTCTCTGTATTAAAACTACAGAATCTGTACTTTCCTCTAAAAATGCCACTTGACATTAAAAGAAACATAACTGCATTTTTTAAGAAGACAATCTACCAAGGAAACCTCATTTCAGGTTTTCTGTACAATGTCCAAAAAAAAAAAAAGAACCACAAAAGCATAGTTTTCGGAGAAGAGTAAAGCCTGACTACCCACTCATTTTCGAAACACCACACTTTCTAACCACCACAAAGTTATTAATTTTACATTTAGTAGTATATGCAATAATAGAAATTAACATGATTAATTACTCTGATGGATGGCTTCCACATTGTACCAACAGGTTATCAAATAGTGTGTGCAGTGATCAAACCTAAAAGTTGTGTGGTCTATCAAACAAATACTTTTATTTTACTTCTCATTTTTGGAAAGAAATAGAAATCTGCCACCACAATGAAAGACATTGCTTCACCATGAGTAATTATTTTGACATGGGTTGACTCAGGGTTTTTTACAGTGAGGGTGGTAAAATGCTGGCACAGGTTGCCCAGAGAAGTGGTGGATGCACCATCCCTGGAGACACTCAAGGCCAGGCTGGATGTGGTTCTGGGCAACCTGATCTAGTTGAAAATGTCAATGCTTATTGCAGGGGGGTGGACTGAATGACCTTTGAAGGTCCCTTCCAACCCAAACTATTCTGTAATACAGCTTGAATAAAGAAATCCATAGTGCTGCAAAATGGTGAGGTTTATGATTTATTTCATTTACAATGAAACCATTTTTAACACTCCAGAAGATGTCAGAATGAGAACCTGGAAACAATGACATTTTTTGCACTGCAGTACTGTTCTAGACCATTACTCTTTTGGCAAACAGATACAAGTTCTTTTCTGGTTAGTATTTTTCTGTATTTTCTGTATCAAAAGAGTCATTCAGTGAGCTTCAAATAGACTTCAGCTGTGTAACTGCATTAACTGCTGTTACTTCACTGATCCAATATGAGAAACAATTACAGAAAACCTAGAAACAGGACATGTCTGAATATAAGCAAATTAAAATAGCTGTCTCATTTGAGAAGTTCCATAAGCATTACACTACTTTCTACAAATACCCATAACTAAGTGTAAACTATATAAAAATACTCTGGTTCAAGCCACTTCATTATAAACACAGATATATTACAGCTTTTGGGTTTTGCATGTCATACCAATAGTTCTGATCTGCTCCTTTTCTCCACCCCACATGGAAGAAACAAAAAGATTGACATACTAATGATAACCTCAGGTAAGGCTTCTGTAAAACCTAGCTTAGTTGGCACTGACACACATTCACATTACCAGTTTAGTGATCCCACTAGGATCATTCAGCAGTTAAGGTAAAAGGGAAGATTACCTTCTCACTTCCAGCCAAGTCTACCAGGTAGAGCTTTCCACTGAGTTTTTTCTCAGTTTCCACATTCTCTTGTTTAATATTAATAAGGAAGATACTGTGGCTCCTAGAGCTGTGTTCATTCATATCTGCAATCATATTTGAAAGGTTTTGTTTAAATGACAAAGAAATTCTATTTCATCAGAGCTTGCCTATGGCTAGCAAATTCAAAAGTACAAGACCACTCACTGGAGAACCCAGACCGCTGTAGTGACAGAAGTGTCCATGCCAAGAGCTGCAAATAAAGCTCACTCACTGACTACAGAATGACCTCCTGCTTTCTCCCAACATGACCAGATGAACCAGCTTCATGCTAAATGACAATCTTGGGAAAAAAGCTGGTTTGGTTTTGTTTGTTTTTTTTTCTCCTTTCTTTTTTGAAGATTTTTTTGTTCCCTTGAAGCAATAATATTTGACCAGAAATAGTAAAAATTCATAGCATAAGTAGTGTTTAAGGCCAGGCTGGATAGGGCTTGGAGCAACCTGGTCTAGTAGAAGGTGTCCCTGCCCACGGCAGGGGGTTGGAACTGGGTGAGCTTTGAGGTCCCTTCCAACCTAAACCATTCTAGGATTCTGTGAATAATAAAAAAACATTTCACAGATACAGTAAGAAATATAGGTTCTGTCCTTTTATGCTTCTTCATAGACAGCTTACACAAAAAAATTATGTGATATAACAGACACTATTTAGACATAGAACTACAATGAGTATGTTATGCCCAGCATCCTGGACAGACGAATAATTTTGAGCTGAGCAAGAGAATTTAAAGAGAAGTAAAAATAATTGCTGGGCACATCTCAGTCCAATTGTGTGAGATCTCACAACATTTAGCAAAAGTTATTTTTTTCAGAGTGATATTTATTACTTAAGTAGTTAAAAATCCTTCACCCAGGCCACAGGTAAAACACAAGCAGTTAGTGTCAGCTTCAGCTTGTTGTAAGTTTGATTGCAACCATGTTATGCTTGAAGTTTCATAAAGTAGCAAAAAGAAAGCACTAAGAATCAGTAAACCATTTCTCATCCATTTTCTCTATTTTCTGTTACCAGAAACCCCACTACCACCTTTCACCCATTCGCATTTGTAGCAATGTTTGTAGTTCTTCGAACTCCCTTTTTCTTCTCCACTTCCAAACTCAGGTTTTTCAATAATGCTTCCAAATTTGCTCCTTGGATTTCAGTCTAGGTAAAATTCATTCTGTGTCAGCTTCTATCAGAACTTTTCTGTGTGCACTGAATGCAACAGGTGGTACCACAGCAAAAGCTGTATTTGGATATTTTTTCTTAAAGAGAATAGCAGAAACAATGGAAGGAAACATTACTTCAAAAAAAAAAAGATAATTCATTTCTATTACTATGATGAGAAAGGCATGGGATAGCTAAGGCAATATAGTATTTAACAAAATGAGAAGGTAGAGACATGGAAGAGAAAGAAGTTACTCTGTGTGCCATAAAAAAATCAATTTATGTAGTAAAAAAATATACGAATACGCCACCCCAAAGATCAGAGTTACAAGCTGTGGTCCTGCCAATGTGACTGCTTGGATCAAAGACATCTTACAGAATAAACTGGGAACAGGCCAAAGATACCCATCCTTTTTATTACCATAATGCTAGTAGGGTGCATGCAACACAATGTCAACAAATCTGGCACAGGCTGAAGCAATTACGTTTTCTAATTCAGGAAGATTTGCTTGCTTTGCCATCATGGGAACTCAGTCCAAGTCATTGCTTCACCGAGATAACTTGCAAGAGATAGGCAGAGTCTGACAACTGCTCTGCAGTCTTTGCCTGCTGTTTGAGCAGTGAATTATTTTGAGTTCTAGACTTGTAGCACAAAGAAGAGAGTATCTATGTAATTTCAGTTAGACATAATTTCAAGATATCTATACTGTGTAACAATATATATTTGACACTTTATATAAAAATACTATATAATGCCATGTATTAAATTCAGGAGTTCTCAAAGCTGAAAGTCAGTAACTGTTTCTGTATGCAGTGAAGCAGTGAAAAAACGTACACACTATTCATTTTAAAGCGTTATAATTTGTGCATCATTACATCTTTCACATACTTTGTGAATGTGAAGAATCAATACATCACTAGGAAGCTACAATCACCCACACTGTAAGCCAGAAAAGCCTTCACAGAATACTTACTTGTAACGGCTACATGACGGTTAGCTTTCCCTTCATCAATGACATCCAAAACTTCTTCAGGACTCGATACAAATCTTTCTGTACAACCCTAGAAAAATGCAAGTTGAAACCAGAGAGCTTTAGGAATAGCACTAGCACTCCAAATGCCATCAGGAAGGATATTTAGCACCGATGAACAAAATAACTAGAAGAACCATCAACATCCAACATGATCATTAGCAAGGCAGTGGACAAAAGATGCCTTTGTATGACTTTCAGGGTAAATTGGGAGAAAATTTTCTTTCACCAGATTAAAGACTTGATACAGCATATATTCCCACTACTAATTTGGGTTAGATTACATACCCAAATTAGTTTCTCTCTCTCAAACTACAAGACAAGATGCACAGTCCTTGCTCTCTGCCTTAATGCAATATTACTGCAGGAATTATTTTATCTTTTTTTTTTTTCCCCTCCTGAGGATGAGAATAAACAGAACAATATTTTATGTGTATTATTAAGTCTCATATATGCTCATTACATTATATTTAAGTGAGGGCCCAGGAAGTTATAAAACAAATTCCTAACCCAACAAATCCGTTCTAAAATATTGTGAGATTATAGCACATACGCAAAAAAATTCAAGAACAAAATCCTTCAAAATGTTCTCTTTCATATCTGCCATGAAATGGGAATATGAATCCTTAAAATTTAACACCATACTATCAAAATGTAAACGTTTAAAGTTAGGAAAATAAAGCAAACATGATTCAAGCCTGTTAATATTTCCAGAAACTATTTAAATCCAGGGACCGATACTATTTGAACATTCACGACTCCAAACAAGTTGAATCATTTCAGCAAACACACTGGGATACAAATGGAAATGTGTAAATAAATGAGTATGCGAGAAATAATGAAAAACTGAACATCAAATTTTCCCTGTACCTTAACATATGGGACTCTGTTTTTATCTTCATGTACAGCGAGGTTTGTCTTTGACACTAGAAAAAAAAGATGGCAATCATTAAGAATACTCCACAGGTAATAATGTGTCAACTATAGAACTGACAGACAAATATTGTGAACATATCAATTTTGTGAGAACTGCAGTTGCTTCCCACTCCTTATGAACTACCAATATTTCTCTTACATTAAACTTGTTTCTTGTTCTGTTCCCCTTGTACCTGTTTCTTTAAAGCTAACTTTACTCCTCAAAAACTTTTCTTTATTGCGTGGATCAGTAAAATGAACACAGACCAACTTGGATTTTGCCAAAGCAGTAAGAATTTCAAAAGAGACAGAAGAACTCGCAGGAATTCAAAACAGCTCAAATACTTGTTCTTGGTTTTGTGTTACAATTAGCACATATTTCTGTCTTCGGACTGATTCACACATGCAATTCACACTTTCACTAACATACAGTGCACATACACAGAGACACAAATTGTAAAAAATACAGATCACTCCCAATAAATTCTACCTAACAGAAGCAAAGCAAGGAATACGTTGAACTGAATGTATCCAGAGTTAACGGGGGTGGGGAGGAGGAAACAATCAAAACACAACAAAAAACAATGGAACACTATATACATTATTACAGCTTGACTTTGAGAACATATATTGTCAGTGAGGCTCAGACCTGCCTTAAAGTCTGTAAAATTCTCTGCACCCTTTTATAACCAAGCTATGCAGCACTGCAGAGGTAGGCGCACAAGAGTTAGAGATCAGATGACTTTAACTGCTAAATTCTTTTTTACAAACCCATACAGCTACTGTCAAAGAAAATAGCTGTTTCTCCTTAAGCCCTGATTCAAAGCACTACACCAAGCCCAAAAACACTTAATCACACAAGAAATGCAACACTTACCATCAAGTAGGTCCCTTATTTTGTCCAAATATATCTCAAAGTACGAAACCTAATTAAGAAACATTAGATTTATACATCTTTGTACCTATATTTCCTTATCTGCCAAAATAAAAAGCACCAAACTAAAAATAAAGCCCACTTCCCACATAGTTTGAATCGCATCTTCCATGTGAACATCTGTGTATTTTGCATGATTTAAAAGCCACTGATCTTTCTCCCTTTTACCAGTGATTCATCAGGAATGTATAGGAAAAAAACAACTTCAGACAAATCTTATCTTCTTTTTTGTTTTTAACACAGCAAAATTGACAAAAGTGTTGAACAGAATCAAATCAATTTGGCTACTGTCATACCAGGATAGCTGCACCACGAGAAGGGTCAAGTTTGACAACTGTAGGAGGTATACTGATATTCAGCAGCACAAAAGGAGGCAGCGCCTTCGGTGGTTTAACATACAAGTTATATAAGCCTAAGCAATATAAGCAATATATAGCAAATTCAATTTAAAATGAAGCATAAATAAAAGTTCTGTCTTGAATAAAGTCCCAAACAAGAAACTGAAAATGAGATTTTCTGTAACAGAGAAACAGACAATTGTCCTAAAAAAAAAAAAAAAGAGAGAGAGAATGAATGAATGAATGACTTTCTTAACAAAAGGGTATTCAACCCAGTAGCAAACACAAATGTGTTAGGGGCATGGTACCTAGCCAGACCCTAAATAAGCTTTACCCAGGGATTATTTAGCTAGAATACTAGATAGCTAAACTCTAGGTATCAGTAAATTCTAGCTATTTAGTAAATTATCTTTTTCTCTCATGTGAAAAATAAATCATGTGGGGTTTTATACCAATGAATTGATCTTCCTATGTGACTACTGCTATTAAATAGAGATATATTTTGCTTTTATGCATTTTACTTCACCTGTGTCCCATTTAAAGCCATCCTCTGGATCAGCTCATTTTAACAGTCCTGGTCTCCCAGACTTAATTCACATGCTTTATATTATCCTATTAACACACTGCTGAGGACCAACACACCTCCCTGTTTTAAATGTGCCTCTACTAAAGCAGGGAAATGAAGAAAAAAATGATGTTAATTTTCAACACTGGCTCAGTTATTAAAAGAGTATGACAGTTTAGTTAAATTCTTGCTCCCACTGACAGAACATGCATTTCTCTCAATGACAGCTCCTTGTATAATCACTCACTCATTCACTGTTATTTAGGCAGCCTTTCTGTTAAGATATTCATAAATGTCAACTATGGTAAGAAAACCACTGAAACAATTCACTGCTGGTAGAACATGATTTATAAAATGATAATCATCTGCCAGGACAGGAATTTACTACATCTTGTACAAGGGGGTCCCCATCTGTTGGTATCCAAGTGCTATCATGTAGAATAGCAACACCCACAGGACAACTTTACAGATTACAAAGAGAAATCAGTGTCATTCCTATGGAAGACATTTCTATAAAAATTCAGAGGTGTCTCTTCTTAAGGAGCTCAATATTTTAAAATCTAAGATCTATTAAAATATTCAGATGGTTTATTTGTAATTCATACATTCTTCTGTGTGTACTTCATGAGCATGCCCACAAACAGGCACTGCTAAGAATGTTCTCAATACAAAATGACCTAGTCCTTCTGGAAGATCAGTGGCTATCAGAGGTTCTCTGATTATAAAAATACATACACACACATATATCCCCCCAGAAGTGCTTCAAGTCTTTAATGCAAGCAGCACTAAAAATCCACTCCTCTCTAACTTGTTCAGCACAAGAGAGACAGAGGAGAAGAGCTTCATTCTCAGAGAGCATCACCTGGTCACAGCAGGAGAAGGGACAGCGTTTTCACACTCTACCTGTGCTCAGCCACTTAACTGTACTGAAGCCATTTAGGTATAGTGTATGCATTTTGGGGGTGGGATGACAGAGGAGTACTCATTTTTCACTGGGTAATTTTACTGATGTCTGCCAGGAAACAAGATGTACCTGACCCCAACTCTGCCAGATGGACCAATGCCTCCTGCCATGGCTGAAAGCTCTCCAGGAGACTGGATGAACAGTGGGAATTAAAGGTCACTCAAGAAATTTGAGAGATCATATGGCTGGGATCAAGATAGGGACATGGAAAAACACAGTAGCTGTCCAAATTGAGACTAAGACCACCATCTTAACGAATTCATACACAGGCTTCTGAGAAAAAAAATTACTTCTAAACATCTTTCTGCAAATTGCCCAAAGCCATCTTTCCTCCATTCCAAACCCACACACTATACAGGACAGCATGTCAGTATTCTCACAAATGTCATGGAGATCAGTGGTATTTATGGTCATAAGTAATGGGGCTTAAGTACAGTCTTTGAGGAAGCTGAGGTGTTTTCTTACCATGTTGATTAGCCTATCAACTGTGGTGAGAGACAAGACAGTCAACAGACTAGCGAACTTGAGCTGAAAACACACTCAAGAAAAACTTCCATCAAAGGCTAGTAACTGTACTAGGTTACTTCTAGTAAATATCCTTAGTAACATAATGCTTTTTTGAGTTATAAAAGGAAGAAAGGAAAAATTCTGAAGCACAATGTTACAGTATAAATGCAGATTTCCCATCCAGCTCCACTCTCTTCTGTCCAACCCATTACATAACACGTCATTCTGCATTTACCTTTATATGAAACTCCAGGTTTTCATCCATGGAGTAGATGTGATCAAAGATGTCATGTGCAATTCTTGGAATAATTCCCATGAGCTGAGGGTCGTGCAGCTTTCCCTGCAGACACAAAATCAAACCATGTCTTGGAAAACCATGTCTTACTCAGGCACAAGAGAGGAGAAAGCCTTGTCCAAACACACTTTCCTCCAGCAGGTCCCTATGAACATACCTCCTGCTCTTGTGCAGAGGATTCACTTGCTGTAAGTGCACAGAAAAGGTGGCAGAAGAACTCAAAGTCTTAGCACTCTTCACCCAACGAAGCACCTATTCGTTTTGTCAGCTCCTGCCATTTGCTAAGCGTCCTGTCCTGCTGCTATTTACACTGCCACTCTCCAACCAAAGACAGATGAATAAACACAAATGTACAAATAACAGCCCAGTTCTCCCAGTTAAATCAGCTATTTGGAAACATGTCAGAAACAAGAAGTTTTAAAACATTTTGTTTCTCTTTCACTACTATGCTAGAATACTAAAGGGAAATCTGGGTTGCAGGGATTTGAGGCTTAGAGTAATATATTCCGATTTGAGCTTGCTGGGCCTATTGCCAGGGAGCTGTGCCTTACGAATGCTACTGTTCTCCATGTTAATTTGTACAACTACCTTCCCCCTTTCTTTCAAGAACTGAATATTAACTAAAACTAACAATTTCCCTGGTGTGTGGCTCCTTTTTGCATTTCTCTTTTTGACAGACACATGCAGGAAAACTAACACCACTTGAAAACTGAATAGAAAAATAGACTTGAAATAAAAACCTTTTCTGACTACAGGATACACTTCACTGTTAATTCCAAATGTTTTATGAAACTGCTGAAATATGCAATAACAACTCAGTAGTTGTAAGAATCCATCAGAACACAGCATCTAGAAACTGTAATACACCTTTTGAATATATCTTTGTCCAAATAATACTGCCCATATCAGCACAAAGCATGTCACTCCATACAGTGGTAAGGAATTTTATTTTCTTTTAAATATAGTGGGTAACCATACAATTCCAAATCATGGGAAGTCAGATTTAATCTGTATTTGCTAAAAATTATTAAACACCAGATTTTTTTTTTTTTAGCAAAATAGCAAGAAAATCATACAAGTGTACATATGTTTTTCAGTATTAAGCATGTCTGTGAATGACTAGTGGCTCAGATTGATGTTTTGCAAGTTTCTCAACCTTCATTAGTATACTCAAATATAATCTTCCTACACATGGCTTCCTTTTTGCTAAAGCTGGTGAAATGACAACTTCTAAGCATCAGCCTAGGATAAAGAAAATTTCACACAACTGACAAAATCTCTCTCTCTGTCTCAAAGCCTGCATTTAAAGTAGTTACTAGGTTTCTGCCCTGAAAATACCTAAATATCGGGGGGGGGGAGGCATGGGAATATAGATAAATCAGTTACATCGCTGCTGACTGCCTTCCCTAAAAACCAGCACTCAGCTTATCTAAACCATGCATATTTCATCTATATTATGCTAATAATACTGCCTTCTGCAGCAAAAGCATTAAGTGCTATACCATATTCAACATCTTATTATGCTTCTCAAAAACTAAAAAAGTCCTTGTCATATGATACATCATTTTATTTCACAAGAATGAAAAAAAAGGGTGAATGAATAAACTAAATCCCTGATGGAGGGGAAAACTTTGCACAAGCACACATCCCAACATTGTTTTACCTTGCCAGCTCACTACTTGGTTCTGTCACACAGTGCAGTTATTGAACAGAGACTGCGATACAGTTTTCACACTATCCATTTCTTCTCCCTGAAGAAGTCCTTGAAAAGCTCACTGAAACCAACTGACTATCCTGTATTACTGCATGGAGAGGGTTTTCCCAAAGAGGGAAAAAGGAGTTTTTCCTAAACTAGGAAAAAACAGAGATTAGTTGATACTTCTTCAGCGCACATAAATCCAACCAAAGGTACGTCTACACTATGAAGTACTGCAAAATGCATGATTCCTAAAGCGGCAAAGGCAGCTATAGAGCCAAAAACGCTAGAGCTAGGCAGCATCCCCTTTTCTGGAGTTGCTTTGACCAAGCTGCATCATTATCTCAGCCAAGGGATGATTTGAATTCAAAGATTTGCTGCAGAAACTTCTGTCTGCACAGAGGTGCATCAGCTTTGGGATCACTGCACCAGGTAAACATATCCCTTACTAAGTGTGGGGAAGAGACAACTGACAAAAGCATCTGATTAAACATTCTTCCAACCCCAACAAGCCCTGTAACAATTATGATTTCTTTTACGTAGCTTTCTCCAGCTCAGAAGCGAAATCAATCTGTAAAACATGATTAAGTATAACTCAATCACTGCATCTACAGCTTCTTGGGCTCCAGGCTTCTCGCTATTTAAGTCAGCAGAAACTACAGTGAAACAAGATCACATTCAACACTTCAAGAAGAGTTAAGATCTTTAAAAGGCTGAAACACCGACAGTCTGTCATGCATTGAAAAATACTCATTTTTTACTTTATTATAAATGGATTTTTACTAAAAGACGATTGAAGCAGGTCTTACTATAATTTATGGAGACCATAAACTGGAAGGGAAGAGAAAGGTAAAAGGGTAAAAGTAGGATATTCACAGGAGAGCTGGAATAAAAAAATTAAATAATAATAAAATTAAAAAAAAACACCCGAACAAAAAAAAAACACCAAAAACAAAACCAAAAAACCACCCACAACAACAACAACCAAAAACTCATCAAAAAAACCCATCAAAACACCAAAAGCCACTCTCATGGAGTTAGCTGTAACCTCAGAACAAGTTTTAGACATGTGCTGTTGCTGCTACGCTGATACTGCAGTTTGTAAACTAACCCAAAGCACCCAGATGGAGAGTTCTCTGCTCATTAAAGCCTCTCATTTAAATAATAACTTTACTTTCTACATTTAAACATAGCAGGCAGTAGCTACTGAAATGCATCGTTTGAGACAGTGCAGTTTTATTTCGGGATGTTGACACAATAACTACAATCTATAAGGATTCAGTATTGAAAATTACTATAATGTCAAAGCCCATCAATATAATTTTATGAGCAAAAATATGCAATTTTTAAGAAGGTATCTATCTTGCTATACAGGTTGATAAATGCTTTTTCTAGCACAGGAGAAGAACCTATCTCTGTCAGAGAGCTTATCGTGGCTATATTACACTACCATGTCCTGTTTAAGATTAATATACTATGAAGTAGTTCACCAAAAATCCTCCATAACAGCTTTATCAAGAGGATTTACTATTTCTTCAACTTCAGACTATTTTTTCCTTCCACAACATACTTTAGCAACTTTACAAGAGGATGTTAGGTTAAAAGGGGGATTAAAACTGAATATAGGTTTGGTTCCACTTTAAAATGACAGCTTTTTCTTTATTAAAGAAGTAAACCAGCCATTTTTCTACAGTCATTTTCTTTATCACAGCTTGTAATTCTGAATATAAATTGGCTTTAAGAGATCTTTCCCCATGCCATGTGGAAGCACCAGCTCAAGCCCTGCAGACATTTTGATTTAATTACATTCAGAGCTGGTGGATTACTCAGCCATTGTGCCATCTGTGAGGTCTGAGCTAGTGATTTCCCCCTTCCTCACAAGGACAGACTTAATTAGATGTGAGATACCAGTTATTGCATCCTCCAGGAAAGGAGCAACTGTGGCAACTGAACAGCAAATTCACCAGGGCTTTTTGGCTCATAGGAATATTGCTTTACTCAGCCTTCAGGTTAGGTAGGTCACCTGTGTTAATCATGTAGCAAAACCATCTGATGCTGTTAAATGAATGAAAACTAACTTTTTCCTTTTATTTAGCAAAACTTTGTTTTAAGACCTCCCATTTAATGTTCACAGTTGAACTGAAATGCTCCAAGCTTGTACAGCATTGTGATAGAACAATCCTATGTGAGGATTAAATGCTTGAATGATCCTCCTTTTCTAGCAAAGGCCTAAAATATGTAAATGTCTTCTAATTGAACAGTTAAAAAAAAGTAATAAATAAACGCAGCAGAAACTGACACACCTCATATAGCAGAAATATGAACAGACTTGGGACTTCAGCCACTGGAATTTGGTACAATTTGGCATTTTTCTCCTCCAAAGCAACAATTCTCAAATTCATCCGTGCTGTAGCATGTGAGAGTGATATTCCCAGAAGGGGAGTGCAAATGAGAAAACCTATAACCAAGGCAGGAATTTTCGTAATCCTGCATGCAAGGGAACTCTACAGACCCTTATCACTGTTTTCATTTGTGGATTAACAAATCTCACTCAAATCCTGTAAAATACACACATCGCTAAACTGTTAAAACAAATACGGAGAAAATACTTGATATTTTTCACTCACCACTTCTTAGTCTGGCTAGATATCTGTAGACGTCTCCTGAAAATAAACCCTCCATGTTGAAAGAAATACTACAGCTTAAAAAGCAACAGAATCTAAACATACCCAGATCTCTTTTTACTTACAGCTGAGTGCACCAGATAGCTGGCTTGTTCAAGTAATTGGTACATATAACTCTACTGCTTCTACCAAACTGAATTAATTTTGCCACTGTACCTCCATAGTATGTGTTTTTCCTGATGATGTCTGCCCATAAGCAAAGATTGTGCCATTGTACCCTTCAAGAACATCTGCAAGAAGAAAAACAATTAAAACTCATATTGCCATCTTAAAGCTTGATTATCATAATTTCAAGTCTTCCACAATGTTGATGCTCAATTAGAAAATAGTTTGTGCAATAAACAAAAAGAAAAATATGACACAACCTTTAAGAAAAAAAAATTCATAATAAAATCTAAATTAAAGAATTGCAGAATTATTGACATCCCATTTCCCTGAGGGGAAAAAACAAAGCTCTGGACACTAGACATTTTCTGATATACCTGTGTAACATGGGAAACAGAAAACTGCCTGCATTTCAAATGCACCACACAGAAAATTAAACTCATACTGTGCATTGTTACTACTATATCACCCTCAACAGTTCATGGCCCCATTGATTTTCAAGCTTGTCTGTAAAGCGTAAGAGGAAAGCAAGAAGAAAGTCATATAAGCAGAACTGGCTTTATTGAAATATACTTCTCTCAAGGGAGAATGAATAAATTTATATTGCATTAATATATATAAAAAAATCCACTTTTAAATTTGCAGTGGTTAATGTCTACAATAGCTTTTAGAAATCCATGTGGGCTGTAAACCAGCTGGTTCTTAGGCACAGTCCCATGTCCATTCATTGCAGCTGAACGGATTACTGGGTGGGACTTGCTCCAGGCAAGTGAATTTGAAGTCTTAAGTAAGGGCACCTACTGATGCAGCTTTCATGTAAGAATAAAAAATAGAGTAATATTTACGATAGTTGCTCATAAAAAAAATGAAGGAAACCTCCAATCTAAAAACCCCACACAGCTCACACCAGACTCTTGTGAATGATCCACCTGGTTCCCAAATGCAGCAAGAATGATGCTGGCCAGGATGCTCGCTTAGGGATGCCCACCTTCCTTCTGAAATATTTATTCTGTTGCTCACCCCTCTATATCTGTACTAATACAGGCTAGCAGGAGAAAAAAAGAAGTTTGCGTGTGTGTATTTATAGGAAATATATACACATGACTATATTATATAATATTACATATGCCATATATGTTGCATTTACATAAACACAAACACATATAAACTCCTTATTTGTATTTCCATATGTCTGTGTGTAGCTGGTCCAGAGAGAAAGAATACTTAAATATGATACATTAGAAAAATATAAAAAGAATGAAGAAGAAACAAACATGAAAAAAAATCAGAGAAAAAACATAGAACGGTTATTTCAAAGAAAAGAAATTGATAAAAAGAGAAGGAAGGAGATGTTTTTCAAAGACAACTGCTACACAGACCCAACACTTCCTATACAGCAATACTGAGTAAGGATGAAATGGGAATGAAGACATCTTAAAAATATATATTCTAATTAAACACACAGTGTAGCTATTTAACTTGTGTCAGAACTGTTTTGGAGAGCTGAAGAGAACAGACAAGCCAGAGGCTGTATAGACCTCCACAAAGTATTGCTGGGTAAATTTTTCGAATCTTGAAATCTAGGAAAATGACAAAGAGATTCTAATTACTGTCATTCTGGTATTAACATTTTGTATAAATTTAGCATCCTCATCTGTTTACAAAAATAGATACTCTGCTTATTCTTGCTTTAGAGAAACAATGCTTAAAGTAAGTAATTATAAATAACAATTGCATAGATAAAAAAACAGATGTCCAGGCACAGATGCAGTGCTATCTTGAGTTCATGCCTTCAACCCATTACTTCACCTTCTAAATAGGACCATGTTACTGGTTCTTTCAAAACATTCCCTCACCAGCTCTTTCCTGAAGGGAACATCTCATTCATTTTCAGTTCACCACAGAATGAATTTGAGTGGAAGTGCTACAATAAAGGTAGCTTGAACTCAGGAGAAAGCAGGTGGCAAGCCTCACTCCCCCTCTGCACTACGTTCAAAGCCCATTCACTTGAACTTTTACAGGTGCAATTTGAGTGACTTTTTTCCCCAATAAATCCTCAATATATTTTAAGCATTGGCTTTGGGAGAAATTAAAGTATTAATGAGGCAAAAATAGCTGCTTAGCAAATTCCTGAAGACTGGTGAACATTAAAACCTTAAAACGAATTCTGCTAGGAGTTCCACTCAGCTTGCACTGATGGGTCTAAATCAGGCAAACCAGCAGAAATATGAAGCACTGGACCAAGGAGGTAGAGGCAGAGATGCAACCAAGGATTTGCAGTGTAAAAACAGTGGCCACAGCTCACAGGAGAGAAAAGTTGTATCTTTTGTATAAATACAAAAATTTTATTTCCTTTAAAAAAATTAATCAGATTAATACTAAACTTCCAAATAGCCTATAGGCAAGGCATTATTTAATGAAACTGTATTTGAAACTTTTTAAATATAAAGCTTAAATATAAATATAAAAATAATATTTAAATATAAAATTTACTTAACTTTTCCTTTTAAACACACACATGTATAAGCACAACAGGGAAACAGTCATATTTAACTTTTGAGGCTACATCCAGTTGTAAGTACGCCATATCTATTGTGTATGGAAGCCTCCATCTCTGTCAGCCAGAAGGAAGGAAAGTATTTGTGTTTGAATTTTTTTATTCTAAACTAAAATCTTGCTGTAAGTTAGAAAATAAGGAAGGTTCATTTTCTTCTTCAGATGGAAATCAGCTAAATGAGCTACAGTGTCTGGAAGAAGCAAAGAACTAGTTTCAAAGGTGTTTAGGCATCAAAAAAAATAATCATCCCGGGGCAGAAGAGGTGGGGGGGTGGTGGGGCTCAGAAATCCTTGAGCCAACGTATGCAACTCTTGCTTGTTTCTAAAATACCACTTGGCATCCAAATGCGTTTAAATTCCCAGGACATTTGAACAGAATCTAAGAGTTTGCTTCTACTATGTCCTCTTTTTGACAAATCCGGTTAACTTAGAAAATTAAAAAAATAAAAAAAAAAAGAAGTTTGAAGTAAAAAAAAAAAAAAAAAAAAAAAAAGGCTTATTATGCCCAGGTGAATTCAAGGTACAGCATCAGCTCTATACTGGTACACAGCCTAGGGGGAAAAGAACCTAATTAATCAACTGTTATGTAAGAAAATTGCTCAGAATTTGCATCAATGTATATTAAGATACATTCTGCTTGAGGAAGCATAGGTAAGCAATTTACCTTCCCAAATAGCAAAAAATACTTTGTTTCACAAAAAAAAAAAAAAATAGCCTTTTGGCCTTTTGCATCAGCTGCAATTAAAAAACGCCAATGGTCTCAGTAGTAGAAGAAGTTATTTTTGTTGGAAGGCTTTCCACATTAAGATAGTTAATATACCATCTGTCAGTTGAAGAAAGAGAGAAGACAGTCCCAGATAGAAACAGCCTGCGCAAAACTTAAAGAGTGCGGGAACAGGAGGGGAAACAACAGGTGAACAAAGTGACTGAATAAAGATCAGCTGGGATTTTTACATAACTTAACAAACGAAAAAGAGTCAAAGTGCTTTTCTTAATTCCTCATCTAATTCTTTCTATAATGATTATCAGTTTGATTTACCCTTCCCATATAAAACAGCTACTCAACTCAGCCATTCAGCTGCGGCCAGATGGCCTTTTTCATGCTGAGTATGGACAGAACAGGTAGCAATAGCCTAGAACGGCAGCTATTGTGTAAGGGTACAACACAGACTTACTCATGTTAGGGACCTAGAAAGTCCTTCCAGCAGCATGGGAGCACTCAGCAGAGCTCTGCAAAAAATGGCCAAGGGGAGCTGTGGGCTGGAGACCTTGAAGATGGACCATTGACCAGTTCAGGAGTCTTAATGGCAAGAAGACAAATGGCTCTATGGAAGCCCTTTCAGCCTCATTTCTAAAGCCAAATTTTTAGCTCTATACTTATCTTTTCCATCTCTAAGCTTTCCAGGTTCTGCAACTCAGCATTTGAGGCCTGTATTTGTAACCAGAATAGAAAGTCGATAAGCTACGCAGTGAAAGCAAGCTCACCACCTAAAATATCATTAAAGCAATTTTCTCCTCCTCATGGAGAACACTAATGTGCAGATGTTCACACACACACTAACATGCTCACAGCTTGGGCCATTACATATTCTCACTCACTGTAAATGTACGAAGAATGCAAAATCCTGATGCAGACATCCATCTGTGTAGATTAAGAAGATAAAGCTGTTTTCTGGCAATAGAGAGCAATTGGAAACACAGCAAAAATGGTGGCAATCACACACTATTGTTCCCTTTCAGATTTAGCGATATTTCTTAGTTTGGTTAAAAGAAATGTAAACATAAGTTCCCAAGCTGTGGTCAAATGCACCAGTGATGATTTCCCACACACTTCCACTACCAGTACTTCTGCCCTTAGGGGTACCTTGAATGAACACCATCCCAGCACCCACTCTGATTCAAATTGCTGTAACACACATATTGCTTCTCCTCCTCTAAAAAACATTCCCGTTTCTCACGTACGGAACATGAAACACTTCGACTTAGTCATTGAGTTGTTTACTTAAACCTAATCCCATTTCTTCTTTAGTGATGAAAAAACTCATTTAGGTAATTCTCATTGTAAATATAGTTATAACCATTGTTCTAGAGACTGCTAGGCCAGCTGGCATTTTCTGTGATAACGTTAATCACAATGAAACCATCAGCCATTTCATGGAAGTATAATGAAATCTGGTAACAAATGGTAACCTTGAAAAGCTATCTAAAAAAGTCTCAAAGACTTGAACAGTGTAATGCACTTAACTCATATTTCCATGTAGTAAATTACATTGTTCCAGTCTATCAGAAAAAGTCCTATCCATTTCACAGTCTTCAATTTATTAGGCTTTAAACTGGAAATTAAACCTAAGGAAATGTAAGCCTAGAGCTCCAGAACATCATTCCAGTAACAGTGTGCTCTCCCTCCTCGCCTCCCTGTTTTGCACTCTTTCTTGCCCCATCACTGTCCTCACTTTCTCTGCTTCTCTTCCTCCCCCCCCCCGCATTTCTCTTTCTCCTTACCTTTCTTCTACACCCTCCCCCTCAACAAACTTGCCTTTCAAGTCATCTAGAAGGTCCAAGTTAACAGACATGCAAAAGTATGTTTTAACTCTATTTTTAAGTAGGACTTTGGAATGTATTTGCCTTTCTAACCGGCTAATGAAGAAGGCTTAGTCATTCATCTAGGTCTTCCAATTTCCTCTCAAACAGGATTTTATTTCTCTCCCCATTTTCAGAGGAAACCAGCTGCCACAGGGGATATAAATAGACTCCACAAGTCTCGAAACAGCAGTGCGCTGCTTCTGTTCACACACACAACATAGTACTGAAACAGTTCCCCAAACTTCCAAAAGTTGAGTGGTGTGTCAGCAACCCAAACTAATGACTTCTAAGCTCTACATCTCCAATCCCTCCAGATTTTATTAAAGCCTTACCCGTCTGAAGTCAGAATTGCCATAATTAGGCTCCCCTCTGAGAGGAGGCAACTGAAGTCTTATGACTCACTTCCTCTCTCCAACATGAAATAATTTAGCTTCTGGTCCTCCCCCCAGTCATCTAGACTACATGCATGTTGGTTTGCTCCAGGCTGTCTGAGCAAGTCAACCAATATTCCTCCAGAACAGAACCCAGGATTCGCAGTAGCATTGCTCACCCCAGGGACTTCTCCCCACTGGCCAACACAAGCTCACTCACAGCAGATCCAACTCCATGCCTGAAACACTAGCAAGTCCTTCAACACTGCATCAGTAGCTCCTGCACCTCTGAGCAACCCCGAATCTCTTATAACACATAAGTTCCAGTGTTAAATGTGCAGCCTTGTGCTGCTATACAAGCACAACTCTGACCAGCTCTGACACCATTTGCATTGCCTACATACTTCGATTTAAAAAGAAAAGCTGAGGACCAAATTTTGGAGGGTGCAGGGACACCACACAAAACCAGGGAATAACTGGTTTATTAAACCAGGTGCTACTCGTAACCCCTGAGATTCTGTAGCAGCTGTAATACCATCATGGATGGACGATCCAGCATCAGAACCAAGTGGGAGGTCTGAGGGTGATTTGGGATGTGGGAGAAGTATGGCAGGTGGGGGAAGTATGAAACACAATTAAAATGCACCCAAAATGCTTGATTCTCAAGTTAAAATCTTCAAGTTTCAACAGTTTATAAAGGTTTTATTTTAAACAAATAGGGTGCCATCCAGTACTCACTTCTGTTCTAATTTCATTTTTAAATGCAAGCTACCTGCCTGCAAAGCAGCTACAAAACCAGGGCCTTTTAAGTTCTCCTTTAATGGTCCGTCTACCATTCAAAGACACAGCTATTCCACACTCATCCCATAGTCTCACACTGCATTAAGAACATGCTTTCTGTTGCTTATCATGTATCACAAAAAGCAAGTATTAGGGTGGAATAACAGTCACACAGAAGGAGAAAATCAGGAACAACTACTGCAATTCCTTAAGCCCTTTTTCTTTTGTTTGTTTTGTGGCTTTTTTTTTCTTTTTTACACAGACACGTCCTTAAAAACGGAAACACTTGGAATTACTAGTTATTAAACTCCCATAGAGACATCTAAACATCTATTATCCAGTCTTTAAATAGCTTGAGGGGACACAGGGAGACATCTTATCTTTTTCCCTCCCCACAAGCAGGAATAAACAAAGACAACACCTACCTTTAACAATCTGCTTGGCACAGGCATTATAAACTTGCTCCTGGGTTGTATTAGGAGGTAACACTCTATCAAAGACATATGGTTTCCCTTGCTGCAAACAAGACAGAAACACTGTAAGATAAAGAACATGTAAAACAGTTTATAGATAAAATATGACAGGCATCCTGAAATGCAGCACTTACTACAAAGGACGCCATTCAGTGCAATGGAGACAATATTTTGTTGGCTAAACAGAAGTGACATCTCATGCTCTCCAAACCCATCTTTTCTACAGTTGACAAATAAAATGCAGCATATGTTTTCTGTGTGTTCACATTTGGGTCAGTGGCTACAGCTGCAGGAAGCAATAAGCTGAACTATCAGTAACTGAAAGCCATTTTCTCCCTCTCCTAGGAGTTAAGGGAGAATAGCCATGTAAATATTTGCAAAAGATCTGCTGTTCATTGGAGCAAGCTAGTGAAAGCTGTGGTGTGAGAAACGGCAATCAGATCTGAGAGAATCAGAAGTTTGCAAGTCCTGACGGTTCCCTTCTGCTGAGGCTGGGGTGGTCCAGCACATCCCAAGCACAGTTCCAGCACACTATGTGTTCCTTCAGCAGAAATAGACTGGTTTGATTCCTATGCTCAACATGCAAATGTGCATTGGTAATAGCATAGGTGAGACCCAAAACAGGCATCCCAGTCACTGCTGCTTTACCCTAAGCTTGTATTTTATTCAGAAATGGTCACAGTTTTTATCCTTAACACCAACAAACAGCAAGATACCATGTGAAAAGAGCTCAAAACTGATGTTTTGAATGGGACTGGAGCCATTTCCAGACTGTGAACTGCCACCATCTCACCGCAGACACTGAGCTGCCTTAATTCCCAGGGGGCACCACAACTGACACTTATCATATGTCTATATGTTGTAGCACAACCCACCCATACACTTCCATAAAATTTTGATTCCTCTGTAGCAAGTATAATAGGTTACAAGAGAAACACATATTACCAACCCTAAAAATAGGCTTGCATGACACTCAAAAGGCAAATCAACTCTTAAGACAGCAGTTCAGCTCCTTACAACTCAAACCCAAGCAAAATATGTACATTTAAAATACAATTCCTTTATTTAAAGTTAACTAAGAGGAAGTGTAACATGTTTCTTATTTTCCATCAAAGCCTGTAATATATCCTTTCTAAGATGTGACACCTGCTCTGAGAACATGACAAAGGCTTCAAAGCTAACTGCAAGGTGGATGGATACTCAAAGTAGGAGTCTTGTTCTTGTGCGCCGATGTACCATTCCTGTCATTTGCTGTCAGCTGTTCAAATGCTGTGCTCAATTAACCATTTTTGTCACATTTTGTGATTTTACTTCAAGCAGATCATAAGCTTACACTTGCCTGCTCCTTAAACTTGGATACTTAACAGCCACAGGGAAACGAGACAGAAAGGTGTTTGCCTGCAATGTGTGCTCTTGTTTCGTCCCAGAATTTCCAATCTCAAGGATATGAAAGCAATTTATAAATCATTCAGTAAATAAGCCATGGTCCTATGCTGGCATGAGGTGCCACTGGATCACCCAAGCACCTTGCTTGGTAAGACACAAGCTCAAAGTGGTGACTCGGACAGATATGACCAATGCAGCTCAGGCCCCAGTTTTCACCTGCAGCAGCTTCAGCCCCCAGGAGAATGGTTGGACTGCTGGGAGCACCCAGATGGCACCTACCCCAAACTCTCTCTCCACAGCTTTCCATGGACAGTTACTATAACTATTCTGGAGCAATTTCTCACATGGACCTTTTACCTCTTACACTCATTTTGCTTATTTGAAGCACCAGACAAGCCCTAATGCAAGAGACCAAAACATACAGACACTCAACCTTTGCCATCCACTTACCCCATTTATTTCCTTCATGCCCGAGTTGAGACTTACTGGCTAAGCAGTGTGAGAGAGTGGCAGAGATGCCAGTACACCATCCTATAGTGGCAAACGGCACTTGAGCAAACATTGCCTTGGTGCAATCAATCCGGCTCTACTGAGCTCTCAACAACTATCACCTCAGAAAGCCACAAAAAAAAAAATCCCATTATAATTGTGCTTCACACAGCTGAAATAAGCACTGGCTGCAACTGTTATTTATCTGTCAGACTGAAAAGCTACAAATGTTAAACAGCAATTCACACATTTGCTACGTAGGTCCAATCTCCTCCAGATTTTTGTTCTGGGAAGCTAAAAGACTGGAACACTCATCACTGATATCCAAAGAAAATAAATAAATGCGAAGGATCACAAAGCACCTGTCATCAACTGCATGAAATGACAGCACTCCATTACCCAAGAAGCACTTAGGGGTTTTGGGAGAGATTTTTGGTACTTCATCTCGGCATTGATCTTAGACAAAAGACAACTCAAGGCTCATGATCTTTTCTGCAAAGGAGAGTATGAGTGGGCACAGACCCTCTTCTACCCTCAGTTTGCTAATGCATACTTCTTTTGCTCTACCACTGTTTCTCCTCTGCCCTAAATCCTCTCAATCCTGTTTTACCCCCTTCTCCCCACCAGCTGCATTCCCTGCTCCTTAGACTCGTCATCCTCTTCCTTCTCTCTCTGTTCACCTGCTTGGGTCTCTGATGTTGGAAAAATGTTAGGCATCACCCATGTCACCCTATTCACCTTGCTCAGCTTTCTGACTCTTCTGTCCCACCAGATCTCCTTAGAGTTCTCACCACCATCTCCAGGGTCCTGGTGGCAAGCTGTAACCTTCACCACCTCTCCCACTGAGTTGCTCCTCACCCCTTTGATTTACCAGCTGGGCAACCCACAGACCCAACCTGCATGTGTCCCACAAGAGCTCGCCCTCAGCTTACAGGGGCTAGAGAAGACCACAACACCTCAGACAGGAAGAAGAGTCTTTGAGGTTCTCAGTTACCTTTTGCCTCAGTCTTAGCAAGCAAGTTCTCTAGCTACGCTGCTCAAGTCTTCAAAGGCAAATGCAGGGACTGTAGGAGAGGATCAGGTCTGAGATCATCTTAAGAACCTAAATGTGCACAAGTCCATGAGAACTGATGAAATGCATCCACAGGTCCTGAAGGAGCTGGCGAATGAAGTTGCTAAGCCACTGTCCATTATATTTGAGAAATCATGGCAGTTGGGGGAAGTTCCAAACAACTGGAAAAAGGGAAATATAACCCCCATTTTCAAGAAGGGGAAAATGGATGATCCAGGGAACTACAGACCAGTCAGTCTCACTTCTGTGCCTGGCAAAATCTTGGAGCAGGTTCTCCAGGAAGGCATGCTAAGGCACATGAAAATCAACAAGGTGCTTGGTGACAGCCAGCATGGCTTCACTAAGGGGAAATCCTGCCTCACCAATTTGGTGGCCTTCTATGATGGGGCTACAGAACTGATGGACAGGCGTAGAGCAGCTGATGTCATCTACCTGGGCTTGTGCAAAGTGTTTGATACTGTCCCACATGACATCCTTATCTCTAAATTGGAGGGACATCAATTTGATGGATGGACCACTTGGTGGAGAAAGAACCGGCTGGATGGCTGCAAACGAAGAGTTGTGGTTAATGGCTCAATGTCCAGCTGAAGACCAGTAACGAGTGGTGTCGGGACTAATTCTGTTCAACATGTTTGTTGGTGACATGGACAGTGGGATTGAGTGCACCCTCAGCAAGTTTGCTGATGACACCAAGCTGTGTGGTCCAGCTGATACGCTGGAGGGAAGGAATGCCATCCAGAGAGACCTTGACATGCTTGTGAGGTGGGCTGATGCCAACCTCATGAAGTTTAACCATTACAAGTGCAAGGTCCTACACCTGGGTTGGAGCAATCCCAGGCACAGCTACAGGTTGGGCAGAGAAGAGATTCAGAGCAGCCCTGCGGAGAAGGACTTGGGGGTGTTGGTCGATGAGAAAATGAACATGAGCCAGCTTCAGTGTGCGCTTGCAGCCCAGAAAGGCAACCGTATCCTGGGCTGCATCAAAAGGAGCATGACCAAAAGGAGGTGATCCTGCCCCTCTACTCTGCTCTTGTGAGACCTCACTTGGAGTATTGTGTGCAGTTCTGGTGTCCTCAACATCAAAAGGACATGGAACTGTTGGAACAAGTCCAGAGGATGACTGGGGGGCTGGAGCACCTCCTGTATGAAGACAGGCTGAGAAAGTTAGGGCTGTTCAGCCTGGAGAAGAGAAGGCTGCATGGAGACCTCAGAGCAACCTTCCAGCACCTGAAGGGGGCCTATAGGGATGCTAAGGAGAGCAACTCTCCATCAAGGGACTTTAGTGATAGGACAAGGGGTAACGGGTTAAAATTTAAAGAGGGGAAGTTTAGATTGGACATAAAGAAGAAGTTCTTTACTGTAAAGGTGGTGAGGCACTGGAATGGGTTGCCCAAAGAAGTTGTAAATGCTCCATCCTTGGCAGTGTTCAAGGCCAGAATGGACAGAGCCTTCAACGACATTGTCTAGCATGAGGTGTCCCTGCCCATGGCAGGGAGGGTGGGGCTGGATGATCTTAAGGTCCTTTCCAACCCTAACTATTCTATGATTCTAAGGTGTCCAGCACGAAGGAAAGCTGTGGCAATTCAGTTGCCAAGATACTGTTAAGGCAGAAGATTTTTCTCTGCAGCAAACTACAGGTTTGGATTTCTTCTGTAGAGTGTCATTGTTGTAAGCTCTTATATTTTTGCCAGACTTTCCTCAAAGGTAACAAAAGCCACACCCATCCTCCAAATGCAACATGCTGGCAGATCCAAAGGGCTTGCTTCAAAACAGAGAGGGTGAACAAGCATGAACATCACCTTATTTTTATTATTATCCCAAGCAGTACTTTTACCCCTATTGTCATCTTCAGAAATAACAACTGGTTGGGGTTTTTTTTTAGATGTAACTCAGCTTGAATTAAAAACCAAAATCAGAAAGATTTCAGCCTTATTAGACCTTACTCAAGAAAGCAATAAGCAGATAAAAATTAAGTGTTTTTTTCTGAGTTGATGCTGTTTATCTGTATACCTCCTCCATATATTATTTTCCAACTTTCTCATTACATGAAGTGCATTCTCTCTCATACATAAATCACATCTTCCTTCCTATGTGAT